CTCCTTCAGCATCAGGGCCCACCTTTGCCACCTCCTCTCCTCCACTCAAATCCTTCCCAAATAAATAAACTGCCCCCAGTTACTTCCTCCCCATTGGTCCTGTTTTTTCTACAGCCATACCTAACTGTGGTATTTCTGATGTCCTGACCCAGGCAGTTCCAGCCTTATATGGTGTTACTGGCAGGGATACTCGATGCAAGCATCCTGGCTTCCCAAGACTCCTAGTTCTCCCCTTGGGTTTATTTTATCTCCTGCTGTTACTAGACTGTCCCACATTAGCCTTGATCCCTGTGCAAGCTGACCAAGCACTAGCAGGATCTTATCTGGCAGTTTACATACTGGAGAACAGCAGCAGAGGCACTTGTTTGTCTCCCTTTTGCCAGCACTGCTGGGGCCTCAGCTCTGTGGGGCTGTGTGCTCCACCAGAACCTCTTGCTCACAAGCCACCCCCTGGTCTGCTTGCCCTCCTTCAAGGACATTCAAAACACTCTGGGTGCCCAGAAAGCTCAATCCCTTTTGGCTAGAAGCCACCACAGCTGTTAGCAACACAGGCAAGATGTTCGGCTAGGCACCTACTCACACACTCTTTCCTTCTGAAACAAAGTATATAAAAATAAAGAACAATGCAACTTCTATCATAACTAATAACAAGTACAGAATTAAGTGCATTAAGAGCTGCACAGAAGTACTTTTGGAAACCAACCTGTGGATATGTCATGCCAGCAATGTACGGTTCACAATTTCAGTCCTCAGTTCTGACAGTTCCCTACTCGCCGCCAAGGTGGTCTCAGGCTTGCAACTTCTTGTCTGCTCTCTGGTTTCTCAGCTCTCTTCTGTGTGCTGTCACGTTGATCTCTTCCCAGCTAGGCCTCTCAGCTCCCAGACAGACATCATTAGTCCCTCAGTCTGTAACAAAATCCTGCTTTTGAGAACAGGCAAATCAATGTACACTGGCAATGGATGTAATACCATATCTTTCATCTTCTGGTGGAGCCACAGGTCCATGTGAGCCTCCCACTCTTCCATTACAGGTGAGGCAACACATGCACAGCCTGCACTGTTACCAAACACCATGCCCTGCTAACATGCTCCACTGATGAGCAGCAACATCCTCAAGGAGTCCACAGCTGACTGTACAGAATGAGCACATATGGTTCATTTAGTTGTCCATTTGCAACAGCAGTTGATGACACTTCCCTTGTAATATGGGATCTTTTTGTTGTACTATCCATAAGAACAGAGCTGATCCATCTGAAAAAGGCTGTTCTAATAGCTAAAAATTGAGTCTGACTTCAAAAGATATATTATTTAATCCCTTACAGTTTGTTGTTTTGTTTGATTGGGTTTTTTTAACTTGGCAGTTGCCATATTTGGTAGGTAACACTGCTATTGCATTAAACAGCAGTCTGAAGTTTGTTATCCATTTACCTTGTCTATGATTCAAAAACACTGCCAATTTCATAGACAATCACAGAACGACTGAGGTTGGAAGGGACTTCTTGAGATTATCTGATCTAACCTACTGCTGAAGCAGGGTCACCTAGACCTGGTTGCCCAGGACTGTCTCCAGATGCTTTTAAGTATCTCCAGCGATGGAGACTTTGCAATCATAACAGATGCAAAACTCATGTACATACTGGTCACTTTTCAGAGTATTCTAGAATAGTTATATGTCTCATATATCAATTTTCCATCTCTTTCCCCATCTTAGAAGATTATTATGGGTACTATAAGGTTTGTGGATACTTGTGGATGGAGTAGTTTTAGTTCTAGACATGCTCAGTGGCCAAAACTAAAACTGCACCACCTGAACAATTAAGAGCATATCAGGTGACACAACTGCATCTCCCATCATCTCACTGGTTGCAAAGGTACCATTGGTACTGTGTGCAACTTCTGCAGCTGACCCACACTGGGATCCAATCTATTAGTTCAGTCTTTTCGTTCAGTCTATGCTGTCTTACAGGTGAAGTCAGTTAATTCTGGAAGAACTAACTATTCTGAGAAGCTAACTATCTGAGGTCATCCGCATCATCTCCAGATCTCATTAAAATTCCTTTGACATATTTTCTGAAGGAAATAAAAAATTATTAACAGCAGTGGTGATGCTCCTCTCCTATCCAAACCATTGCTCTTATACCTAGAAGCCAGCAGAACAATGAACAGCATCAGCAGTGCTTTAACAACACTCCTGCTGCTGTCTTAAAACAACAATAAGCATCTTGAAGACAACTGTTCTCAGTGAAGCACTCCATGGTTTACACCTGTGATTGATTCTACAGCCATGTTTGATCCTGAAGACTAATCTTACCAACCTTAGACAAAAACATTCTCTTTGATTTCCTGGCAGTGGGTACATGTAATCAATTTGCAACTGTTCAAGTGGTGCCCACTCCCAGGAGTCAGAGCCATTACCCAACACAGCCTTACAATTCAGAGTGGTTTGGGTTAGATGGGACCTTTAAAGACCCTTTAAAAACTCCTGCAAGGGGTTTCCAACACCTACGTACTCCACATCCCTGGACTTCCACAGAAATTGTGAAAATAGGGATTTTAAGTCTATTCAGCCTTTGCTGCACACCCTGAGTCTCCTCATGGCCCTTCTGTACCATATGGGTACTGGGGTGGGAAGAGGCAGGTCTTTGGCTGGAACGACATCACGCTCTTCATTTACTATACTTATTACTCTTTTACTTTTAGATCAGCACTTCACAGACTTCAGGATTCCTGTGATCACTTCTCTTTCTGAGGCAGTAGTAGAACAATTTTCCCTTGGACAAATCTACTTTGAACTAAGATAGGAGATCCATTTCTAAAACACTTGCACCTGCTTTTACCAGAATTATACACCCATCCAGTTTATCCCACCCTACCCACAATTAAGCTTCTACTTCTTTTCTCTTTCTTTTACCCCTTCCTACTCCCAATATCCAGACTGATTTAGACAGGAGTAGAGGACCCTGATAATCTAATAGTGATGTCTCTTGTCACACAGCAATTAAGACAGTAAATCCCCCAATGCCCCTTCAACAGACATAGTATCTCCACATAGCTGCTTCCTGCTGCACACCAGGTCAGTGACATGTAAATTAGTCCCAGTGACACCAGGAGTTGGGACTCCTAATCTTTAGGGTCCCCTGAGCGTGGGTATAGCTTTTTCTTTGGGACAGGGGGAGGAGCCGACAGATTCATCTGCCTCAGTTTTTCCCAAATCTCCTCTTGCTTCATCCCCTTTTCCTGAAGTATTTTCTTCATTTTGGCAAGTAAAACTCCTGTGGGCTGACTATCTAGCTCTTCTTCATTCACCCCCTGGCTTATTAAATATCTCCAAATTGTCCGTCTAGGAATGTATTTCCTTCCCTTTGCCCCAATCCTGTCTTTGTTTGACATCCCTTTCCCCTCGGGTCCCATCAGGGTGCCCATGTTCTCCAAGGTAGCCATGCACTCACCCAGGGGGCGGCCAATTAAAGTAGACCCCATGCTGATGAAAAACCCCTTGTGCAGCTCAGGAACACGGCAGGCCAGCACCCCCACATCCCCCTGCTCCACGTGCACCTCAAAGATATCGAAGTCAGGGGTCACCGGTTTCTCCCTTTGCTTTAATGCTCGGAGTAAGACATTCCCACACACGTAGGCTGACATCTCCTGGACATCTCTCCAAGGTGCCCCCTCCATGTTGTCTTTGAGGGGCTCATACTCCCCCAGATTTCTGATCACTAGCCTTAAAATCTCTCCTCCCAATATCTCATTAGCAGGCAGGGCTCTGATAATTGCCCCTACCTTGGGCCAGGGCAGCCCGATGGCTGTCACCACCCGTTTCGCCGCCTCGTGGGTGAATGGAGTACACTGCTCCAAGGTCCATATTCGGTTCACCCACACGGGCCATCCCTCCTTTTGTTTTCTCCAAACCTCCTCCTTCCTGGACATTTCTCCCTCTCCCTGGTCTCTATCCCCCTCCACCGGCTTCACTTTCCTCGCAGCCCCAGCACACATGCCTTGCACCGACGACTCTTCCCGCACGTCCAAACTCCAGGCGTCCCCACCCCACACCTCTGGGTCCCAGTCTCCTTTACTGAGAGCCGCCACCTTCCTCCGACCCAGACCCTTCCCCAAGGACAGCAGGGTGCCCAGGCACTGCACCTTGCGTCTCAGCCGGGCGTTCTCGGCCGTCTCGGCCCGCAGCTCCTCCCGCAGCTGCTCGTCCTGCTCGCTCCGCCGGGAGCTATCGCACCGCAGCGCCAGCACCTCGTCGCGGGCCCGCTGCAGACTGTCCTGCAGGCTCTGGATGCTCCGCTCCTTCTCTTCCACCGCCGCCTGTAAGGCCCGCGCCAGGTTGAAGAGCAGCCACTGCAGTGCCGAGCACTTCTTCTCTCCTTTGGGATGGTACAGGGACACGTAGTTCAGCCAGTGCCGCTCCGCCGCTTCTAGCGTGGGGTCCTGCCCGACCACCTTACAGTCCCACGGGTCCCCGCCGTGCTCCAGCATGGCTTGCACCAGCAGTCCCCGTTCCTCCTGGGTCGGGGAGCTCTCTGGCTCCTCCTTCTCCTTCGATTTCCCCCCCCTGGTTAGCCAGGACATCTCAGTGCCAGCTAGCCCCGGAAGGCACCAAGCCGGGACAGCCTCGGGCGAGACCACGGGAGCGCCCTTGTGGCTTTCCCTGGCCGGCCGGATCCGGCGCAGCTGACAAGGAAGGGCGGGGCGCTGACCGAGGGCACCTCGGGCTCAGCGGCACCGGGGCTCGGGCACAGAGCACCAGTGCGAGCACCTGGGCAGGGCACCGACAGCGCCCACCACAACCTGGGGGCGGCTCTAGAGGTTTATCGCTCGCGATGCAGCCAGACGGGCTGGGCTGCCGCGCCTCACGGCCAGGGTTTATACACGGCCCCACCCCGCTGCCCGTCCCCACCCTGCCACCGCGCCCGGCCCCGTTCCTTGCTCACCGCTGTCCGGGCGGAGCTCCCTGCGGCACCGCCCCCGGCCCTCCCGCCCGGCAGGGGCGCATGGACGCGGCGCTGCGCAGCGCCCGGCGCTTCCCCTCGAGGCTGCTGCTGGCGGCGTCGGGCCGGGCCCGGCGCGGCTCCGCTGGAACGGCCATGGAGCAGCCCCCGGGCGGCTCCGAGGGCGGCGGGGGCTGGCTGGGCGCGCTGCGTTTCGACAACCTGGCGCTGCGCTCGCTGCCCGTGGACGCCTCGGAGGAGGGCGGCCCGCGAGCCGTGCCCGGCGCCTGCTTCGCACGGGTGCGGCCCAGCCCGCTGCACAACCCCCGGCTCGTGGCCATGTCCCTGCCGGCGCTGGCGCTGCTGGGGCTGGAACCTCCCGCGGCCGACCCGGAGGCGGCGGAGGCCGAGGCCGCGCTGTACTTCAGCGGGAACCGGGTGCTGGCGGGCGCGGAGCCCGCGGCGCACTGTTACTGCGGGCACCAGTTCGGCAGCTTCGCGGGGCAGCTCGGCGACGGCGCCGCCATGTACCTGGGCGAGGTGCTGAGCCCGCGGGGCGAGCGCTGGGAGATCCAGCTCAAGGGCGCCGGCATCACCCCCTTTTCCCGGTAAGGCCCGGGGGGAGCGGGGCGGAACCGTGTGGGAACAGCCCGGCGAGGCGCAGGTTTGGGGAGCAGCGCCCGGTGCCCCCTGCGGGGCAAGCTCGCTGTGCAGGGAGGACCGGGACCAGCTTGCCGGCCCGCAGATCGCCTTAGCGAGGGGCTGGCTCCGTGCTGAGGATCGTTCCCCAGGCAGAGATCATCCCTTAAACCCTCGTGGATTTTTTTTTTTTTTTTTTTTAATCTTGGTAGCAGCAAGTGTAGTATTTAAATGCCAGACCGGGAGGTGGCAAACTTTTCCTCTGGAAAATAAGTATTTCAGGTGGCATGTTACTTCAGCCTGTACGGGTTTTCCCCCTCTGGAAGGACAGAGACCGTGATGACAGTGGGGACAGCACTGTGTAATACCCACCTGGCTGCTTGCTGCTCTATGGCCCACACAAATGGTATTTAAATGTGGGTGTTTGGTTGTGCTGCTGGTCCTTCCCCCCCCGTTCTTCCCAACCGTGGGAGGGAATAGTGGAAAAGCCACCAAAATGGCATACTGACCAAATTGTTTGCAAGGGTTGTGTATCTTCATTAGTCCATGAGTCTGCACTACTTTAAATATTTCATGTAATTTTTCCCACTTGCATTTTCCATATTTTTGTTCCAGCTGTGCACAGGCTCAGTGACACCTTAGTTTCATACATGTGGTCCTCTGTCAGCCTCCTTCAGGTCTTCTTAAGGAAATCACAGTAAAAATACCAGATTTGGTAGTAGCATCATATATCTGCCTGGGCAGCTCTCCTGCTTCTTGTGGCTTCTAAAGGGCTGGGAGTGTGGGCTGAAAACCACCTGTGTCTGTTCTATTTACTTAATATCTATTAAATGAACTAGTTTGCTATTTTCTGTCTGTTCAGGTAGGGTTTTTTTAATGCATACTATTGCATGCCCATATTTAACACCCCATTTCTAGATTACTTACCCAGAAAGATCCAAAATAATATTTTTCATTTTATTAAGAGGAAACCATTCACTTGATATACAATAAAATAGCTATACTTGTCCACATTTTTTTTGTTTTTTTGGAAATGGAACCAACAGAGTTAATGATTAGAAGGGATGTGTGTAACTGGAAGGTTTATTTTCATCTGTGTGGTCTTCATTGCAAGGCTGTTTTGTCCATCTAATTGAACTTTAACAGAAGTTTGAAAGTCCAGCTTTTGTTTTCAGATATGCCACTACTTTTTTGTGTAACTGTGGACAGAGCATGACACTTTCAGGCTTTTATTTCTCCACTCCTACAGAGGAGGCAGGAGTTCCTGCCTTCATAGCCTAAAAACTGTCCATGTCTTCTTGCTGCAGACAAGCTGATGGTCGGAAGGTCCTGCGGTCAAGCATACGGGAGTTCCTGTGCAGCGAGGCGATGTTTCACCTGGGAATACCAACAACGAGGGCTGGGACATGTGTGACGTCTGACTCAAAAGTCGTCCGTGACATATTTTATGATGGGAATCCAAAAAACGAAAGGTGTACAGTTGTTCTGAGAATAGCCTCCACATTTTTAAGGTGAAAACCTATTTTGTTGATTGGTTTGTTTGTTTGTTTTTCTTTTAAAACCAAGCACAGTAGTTTTTTAAAATACCGTTTTAAGTGTATTTCCCTAACAGCACTGTTTGTGTGTTTCTTGTTCTGGAGGCTTGGAACTTCTTTTGCTGGGCTGTAGGAAGCTGTTTTCCTTGCCCAGCAGATGGGATGAGCTGTTGTCTTTGCACAGAGACAGATAAAACACTAGGGATGTTAACCTGGTAGAAAGAAGGAAGTTCTGCAGACTTATTAAGAGATTTTTCATGTTTATGCTTACACAGAAGACATGCTTTTTTTTTGATGATAATAGTAGTGGTGGATTGTAGCTCTACCCTTAATTCCAATTCTAATGTAGTACTGTCAAAGTTTGGTTGTACTTTCCCTGCCTGATAAGTGTATGAGGTTCCTGCTCCAGCAGAAGTCATTAGGCATTTCAGAAGTTGCACTGCTTCCTGAAAGGTACCAGAATATTAGAGGAAAGTGAGGTATAAGGAACATCTGTATGTTTATATGTGTATATGTTCTTGTGTGTGTATACATGTGTGGAAAAACCTCTCAAATGCTTGATACACAGTCTAGCAATAAAGTCCAATTTCTGTACATTTACTCAGGATAAGAATTCTTCTGTAGAAGCGGTTGTAAGAAACTGTATTGAACTGCTGTTTGGTACTGGCTAGGGTCTTGATCTGTCAGTTTGGTTCAGTGGATGTATGTGCTTCCTTACACGGAGCCACCGAGCCTCACCAGGTTCAGTGTAGGAATCTTGGAGGTCTTTTCTCACAGTCAGTTGAAGGATTGGCCTTAAGAGATAACGTGCTGTTGCAACAACAGTAAATGGTTTTACTGCATTGAATATCAAATGAAGTTAATAGTATCAGATAATTCTAAAGCATGTTTGTTATTTTGAAACAGGTTTGGTTCGTTTGAAATTTTTAAACCTCCTGATGAATACACTGGACGCAAGGGTCCCAGTGTTAACCGAAATGATATTCGAATACAGATGCTTGATTATGTGATCAGCACTTTCTACCCAGAAATCCAGGAGGCTTATTCAGATAACAATATTCAGAGGAATGCTGCTTTCTTCAGAGAGGTAAGGAAAATCAGAGTCTCTTCATAATCCATAGTGGTCATCTTTAGGAGCTTCATCTGCAAGCACAGATGACTGGAGTCAGTTAATACTTTGTATCATCTCATTATCTGAACTATTCTTTTATTCAAAGAAAGCACTCTTAAGTAGACCTGCTTATTGATGAAAGCAGTGTTGATACTGATCCAACCGATGAAAGCAGTTTTACCTTCTGAACAGTAGATCGTGATTTCCCCTGCTCTAGGGAAGCATCCCAAGACTTCTCTGCATTTGCTGAGACTGTCTTGGACTGTGAGAGAAAGTTCTGGCCCTGAGTGTCAGATGATGAGTTGACAGTACTGAAACATCACTTGAAAAGCATTGTTTTATAGAATAGTGAGAATGCTGAGTCACTTCCTATGTCTCATTTTTCCAAATTACAAACAGGACTGTTGACTACAAATCACCTGATGAGGAGAAGTTTGGCTTGTCACCCACTGTGTGCATGTAGTTGATGGCATGTTTACTTCCTAATAGCAGAAAAGGCATGGGACTTGGAGGTGTTTGTGCAGTGCCCAGTCTTACCTCTTCCTGCTTTTGACTGCTTTTCCTTGCCCAGTTACTACTGGTTTTCTTCCGGGCCCCATCCCACTCCCTGACTGCCCCCCCACCCCCTTGCATCCTTTTTCTCATTGCCCCATATCCATTTTTTTGTTTATTTGTTGTGCTTCTCCTGCCTCTGCCTGTCTGCACTCCATGTCTGGGCTAGCACCGCCTCCTGTGTTTTCTCTCATCCTTTCTCTCAAAGTGGAGACTTTCTAGACTTTTCTCTACCTGAAAAGCATACCAGTCCCTTCTCTAATTTGACAAACACATCCATCTTTTTTAATAGCAGGGAAGTGCTGTCAGCTCAACTCTTAACATGTTTTATCTTTCTTTTTGCACTGTGAAAGAAATGGAAAAAAAAGTACAAGTGACTGCATTTCACAGCACTGTCGAGGAAACAAACATTGTCTGTACCTCTCAAATAATTTGTAGCTGTTGTTTAAATTTAAATGAGCATGTCCCTCAGATAGTGCTTTTATTTATATGTACAAAATACTTGTTTTCTAGTTTGTCTAGCAGTAGAAAAATGTTGATCAAAAAGAATAAAGGTCAAAGTGAGTGCAAAGCTGTATCTTTTCTCAGCAATATACCCATCTTTGAGTGGCACCCAAGCTTTAATTGCTTTTGGGCATTCTCATTAGAGGGATTTCTTTTTTACCACAACGCTGGTGGTATGTGATGGATTCATACAAGGACATCCTGCCTTACTACTGCAGTGCTTTCATCTCAGCCCTGGTGGCCAGGATTTTTTTGTTTTTAGCTTGGACCATCTTCCTGGCACAGAACCATTGCGCAGGGTGTGCCTCTTCTACTGGTTTAGGGCCTAAGTCATCTTTTTTGGACACATGTAGCTGGCTGCTGGCTTCCAACTGCCCCTCGAGGAAGTGTTCAGGAAAAATGGGCAAAGTACCTCCCAAGAGAATATTGGAAAAAGTAGAAGCATGGGATCTCAAGGTGAACCAAAAGCTTATGTTCCAAGCACCATTTGTAGTTTCCACTACCTGTCAGAGCAAGATTTGTCTAATTTTTCTTCTTTACCTGACTGCACATGTTTTAAAAAAAAAGAAAAATAGAAAAATTCTGAGTTTGAAGACAGACACATAGAAATGTTCAAGGAGAAACAATTCCTAGACAGGTTTTTGAACCTTAATGAAATTCACTCACACTGCAGTCTGGAGCAAATAGTCGCTTTGAATTTCTGTGCACTGATAGCTATTTGGGAAGATGAGTGATTTTAGCTATGAAAATAATTTGATTTAAAAGTTTTAGCTAATGGTTACATAAAATTTTTACTGACAGCAATTTGGTATTTAGAACTACTTAGGTTTATTTAAAAAACAAGTTAGCTTCCTGAATTTTAGATTTCATAGCACATAGTAGTTCTCATTGATAGGTGGATTAATATATTTAAATAATTAGGACTACTTTAGAATATTCCACTATTTATTTGGAGGATGAGGCTCATGCAGTGATTGCGGTTAAGGATTCCATAAAAATAACTCTCAGTTAAGCAGCAGAAATATCTCTGATGAAGCACGCATGCAGTAAAGAATTGCATTTAAATAAAACTGTCATTCTTGGAATATTTTTACTTAGTCTTGTAGCTTTTTTCCACTCTCAGCAAATTGAAGGTAGTGCTTATCAGCACTCAAACCTGTTCCCAGGGAATAATTTTTTTGCGTAAGCCATTTAACATCCTGTAAATCACTCCTACGTAAACCGAAAGAATAACATCACACTGGGCTTTGTTGCATATAGTTAATTTTATTTCCTAGACTTTGCTTATGCGTTCTCCTGCCTGAAGTTAGTCTTTAAAATTATTAATAGGCAAAAGAGTATATTTGTTTAATGGTTAGACTAGTACTGAAAAATTCTAGAACTAGTACTGAAGTCTGTCTCCAGTGCATTTTAAAGCTATTCAGTTGACTTGCAAGTTAAGCATGGAAGGAGAGAATAGGAGGCAAATGGAAATGGGAGACAGAGTAACAGGACAATTACTAACAACAGGAGAGAGGCAAGCTGTCCTTAAGATGACTGTGGGCCGGAATCTGCTTCCATCAGAGCTGGAGAAACATCAGTTCAGACTAGGAAATGCTTGGAAATACATGAATGTGTTGGAAATACGTTGTGATGAAAAATGAAAGAAGTATATTTGTTTTTAGATAACCAAACGAACCGCGAGATTGGTGGCTGAGTGGCAGTGTGTTGGGTTTTGCCATGGCGTGCTGAACACAGATAACATGAGCATCGTGGGACTGACCATTGACTACGGCCCTTTCGGATTCATGGACAGGTCAGTGGGCAGCATTATTTGAAATGTGCATATGTGTTTGCTGTGTAGAACAGTCCTAGTATTCATGGTTGCTCTCATATTTTAACTCTAAAGCAGTTTTATTAATTCTCTTTACGGCAGAGTAGGTTAAGCTATTTCTAATTGTCTTCTTTTCAACTTCTTTTAAACTGGTCACAACATCTCTAACTGTAGCCCATGGCTTTGGGAAAAGAATCAAGGAGTGTTCCCTCTCAAATTTTTTAGTTCCTAGAGCAGACTAAAGTAATAAAAGTCTGCTTTTCACAGTTCTGGTGTACAGTTATCTAGAAGAATGCTAACTATTTCTTCATTTGTAGGTACGACCCTGAGCACATTTGCAATGGTTCTGATAATACAGGGCGCTATGCTTACAACAAACAGCCAGAGGTTTGCAAGTGGAACCTGGGGAAACTTGCTGAAGCTCTAGTTCCAGAGCTGCCTTTGGAAATAAGTGAGCTCATCCTGGAAGAGGAATATGATGCAGAATTTGAGAAACATTATTTGCAGAAGATGAGGAAAAAACTAGGCCTAATCCAGCTGGAATTAGAAGAAGATAGTAAGCTAGTATCTGAACTCCTCGAAACCATGCATCTCACAGGTTGGTGAAGAGCACAGGTTATTATTTAATAGCCCATCAGTACCTATAATCAACCCAAAATATAATTTATATCTTCACCTTACAAGAAAGTAGCCTTGTGCAACTACATTGTCATCTGAGAGAAGAACAAAAGACTGAAAAATAATTACCTTATCGTGAACTGTGGAGTAGTTGTTGCCTTATATAGGGCTCCTGTCTCTCATTTGCACCCTCACTGAGGGAATAGTTTATTTGCCTCTTCAGAGTGGTGACTGGTACTGCTGTAGGGGGAGGTAGAAAGGAGGTATGGGACAGTTTTCCTGTTGATTTATTAGTTGCATTACTCATACCACACTTTTTCAGGTGGAGACTTCACAAATATTTTCTACTTGCTGAGTTCGTTCTCAGTAGACACTGATCCTTCAAAATTTGAAGATTTCTTAGAAGAGCTTACAAGTCAGTGTGCTTCTGTGGAAGAACTGAAAGTTGCTTTCAAACCACAGATGGATCCAAGGTATTATCCTACTTAAATGCTTTTGGCTTTTGCTTGTAGTTTCAGTATAATCATAATGAACTCTGCATGTATGCAGAGTATGTAATATTTGACTAATTTTAACAATGGAAATGTCACTGTCAAGTAGATGGGTCATGATCTACATCTATGACTTGTAGCAGTTGGCTCTGGGATTAAAGTTTCCAAGCTTTAGTTGCTACTTTTTTTTTTTATTTCCCTGTCTCTGCTGACTGAGGCAATGAGAGTGCCAAATAATGAAGTGATACAAAAGTATTCTACAGAAAAAAAGGATGTGAACTGTAATGCTACTGTGTTCTGCTAATGTACTGTCAGCAAAAAAGGTCACTTTCAGTCACCAGTGTTCTGGCCTAAGCATAACCTAAATGCCCACTTTAGGTGTAGTCCATGTCCAATTTGTTCTGCAGCCCAGCTACTCTGAGCATGTTCAACTGCTGCTTATAACAGCAATTGCATCTGGTTTTCACTTTTTGCAGATGAGGGAAAAAAATAAAGGTCTTTCCAGTATGTTCCCCTCCCCCCAACACTTGTTTAATAAGTGCTCCATGGAGGTAACAAACTACCAAATTCTTCAGCTTTTTCTGTGTTTTGATACCACAATATGAGTATAGCTTGTGTGATAGAGATGAGACAGTGTTTTTTAAATGCTGCATTCAGGTCTAGAGAAACATGAAAAGCAGCTATAAATCATCATGATGTGGGTGAGTGCAAAACTGATTTTTTTAATTGCAGCTGTTGGATATCATAGAGGTAGACATGTCAGATGTATAAATCATATTTGGATAGTACTTTATATAAACTCAGAAATCAAAGCACCCAGCTTATCTCTGCTTACTAAAAGTAGGAAACTATAACCTGATATAATGAGTTGTCTTTTGAGGCCAAAAATATTTATTTTCTCCTTTGTTTATAAACATATTTATTGTATTTTGATAGGCTGCAACTCTGTTTTTTTAATTTACTTTATGGTGTAGTTTAGTTATTAATCCAGGAAAAATAAAAGCTAGCTAGCATGGTATCAAAAAATAAGGTGAAACTATTGTACGGCACCAGCTAAAAAAGTAAAATGTGAAAAAATACAGTCCTAGTCATACTTGCAACAAAATAGTCTGGATATTGTTAGGAATTTATTACCGAAATGCAATTCTCATTCTGTGATTTAGGCTGGCTAACTGAAAACATTAAACACAATGTTGTCTCATGAGATTTAAATGAAGTATCTTTCCCCATATCATTTAGGATTTTATTACTACTGATAAAATCAGGAGGTATTAAAGAAATTAAAAAACCCAAACAACAAAACCTGTGAATTCTGTATTATCTTGATAGCTAAGTAAGATCAAATTTTTTATTCCAAATTAATTTCAAAGTTCCAAGGGTATTTTGATGAGACTTGCACAACTAAACTCAACTGGTAATTCTCAAAATCTACTGTCTGCTCTTTATATACCACAGAAGTATGAATTCTACTGAAGAAGGGGGAAAGAACAGTAACATTAGCATAATATATGATTTTTAAAATGGTTTTCTTAATTATTAATTTCTGTTATTTCTAAATCATAGTTTGTTGTGAATGTTTTCATATCTACTTTGATTGCTAAGAGTTGCTTCTTGACAGGCAGCTCAACTTCAATATCTAATGTGTTTGTTCCTTTTGTTCCCAGACAACTTTCAATGATGCTGATGTTGGCTCAGTCTAATCCGCAGCTGTTTGCATTAATTGGAACAAAAGCTAACATAAATAAAGAGTTAGAACGCGTTGATCAGTTCTCTAAACTGCAGCAGTTAACAGCCGCTGATTTACTCAGCAGGAATAAAAGACACTGGAAGGAATGGCTGGAGAAATACAGGTAAAGCTTCTCAGTATTCATAGCACTGTATTTTATTTCTGCATTTTGAGAATGATGTGCCTGTCTCATGAAAGGCACCCTCTCTCATAGATTAGGAGGAACAGGGAGGACATGCAGCTCAGAATATTATCTGCTTCCATGATCAGTGCCTTTCTTGCTGTGAAAGTTCAAGGGCATCTTTGTAATATTTTGTTTGCCAGATTTTGAGGTAGGGTGAGGGTGTAGAAATCGCCTAGCATCAAATCTAGTATTAAAAGTGCTTCAAGAGTGTTGATGTTAATTCTAACAGAGACTAATTTTAGTTGTGAACTTTTAAGTGCTCAGTAACTACAACTGACTGACCTCTAAGCATTTTATCCTTTGAAGTTTTTTTTCTGAAAGAAAAATCTATGTATTAATATCAAGTAGATCAAGTAGAATTATTCTTAATCAAAGCGTAACTGTAAAAGAAATCGTGGCCAGGAAAAAAAATGTCCAGACTGTTCTAAAGCCTAAGTGTTAGCAGGTTTTTTTGTAAAGAAAACCCCTGAGTAGAGCATTAGTTGTTTGTACTGTGTGGATTAGGTCCTTTCTTTACCTGGCTGATTTGTTCTCCAGTGGGGCTGAATTTTAGTAAGTATTACTGATAAAAAGTAGATCAAGCTGCCTCAGCTGTGTTGCATCCCTTTGCTTTTATCAGAGCAGCAAAACCTTAACCAATAAACAAGCATAGAAATACTTAAAAGACAAAACCTGAACGTGGCAGTCTTTGTGGAGCAGTGCAGAACAGACCATGCACCAGTGTCTTGATCTGACTTTGGGAGAACACAAAAGCTGTGGTGTGCCACTTCCTTGAGCCTTGTCAGGACCTGCTGACAGTCTGTAGGACAGTCTGCTTTTATGAATGAAGTGACGTTTTATATTCTGTTGTTATGCTGCGTTTTATAAACTGAGAGGATTATAGATAATGTAATATTTATTAAGAACTGCAAACTAAGGATCTCAGAGCAGGGAAACATACTAACTTCCACATGTGATTCTTGATCCAAACCAGTTGTCACTTGCTTAATTTCAGAGTCCGTTTGCAAAAAGAAATAGAAAGTGTTGGTGATGCTGATGCCTGGAACACTGATCATGTGAAGGTCATGAATTCAAACAATCCAAAATATATCTTGAGAAATTATATTGCCCAGAATGCCATAGAAGCAGCTGAAAATGGGGATTTCTCAGAGGTATGCTACTAATACTTACACTCTCTCTAGGTTTGCATGCATATGTAGTGCTGCTATAGATGACTGACATTATGCTTGGCGAGATTTTGTCTGGCATCTCGGGCAGTAAGGACACTGGGAATTCACTGTTCAGGAGGTCTATATTGTTTCTGAGGAGGCTGTAATTTTAATGACTGCAGAACAAATAACTGAATCAAAAATCTGACTGTTCTTCACCAGGTTTTGTAGGTTGACCCCAGGACAAGACACTTAACCCTGGTTTTTCTTTCCTGAGAGTGGCATTTATCTTGGGTGCAGCTGAGGATCAATTTATACTTGTTCCTTGCTGTGCTAAGTGTTATCTTTTAAAAGATTTCACCTTTGGTTTTCACCTGTGGGCTTCAGCACAGGGAATGTTACATGTATAATATGGGGAAATTAATTTATTTTGAGAAAAGTACCTGCATTTCAGGTTAGTTGAGCTTGAGTCCCATACAGATACAAACCCAGTTACAATTACTAATTTTCTGATTTCAGCTTATTTGATGTGTATATTGCTCAGCTAGTTAATATTTGGCTTGTTTGGAGTTCATGTATTAAATACATTATACTCGTTATTTGGTGTGAAGTTCTTCTCCACATCATTTTCCCTTCACTTTCTAAATTCTCGTAACCATGCAATGTTTTCTCTTTAGGTAAGAAATGTACTGAAACTTTTAGAGCATCCGTTCCAAGAAGCAGAGGGTTTCAGGGAGGTAAAGGAAGATGCAGAAGAGGAGGGAGCAACTGCTACAGCAGCTGCTTGTGCTGAAGAGACCAGAAGCAGACTACCATATTGCAGCAAACCTCCGCTTTGGGCTTCAGAGCTCTGCGTTACATGATCTTCATAACTGCCTTGTCTTGTTTTTTGCTGTGAACTGAAGACTCTGATCCTCCTTCAGCAGTGAAGAATTCAGCAAGGCAAACGTCAAAGTGCTATTAAGTTATTGAAACAACCCTACATTTGGATGCGTTTGCAGCGTTCTTCAGCTGTGCTTAAGTTGAAGCAAGTGTTGATCATTGGAACAAACCCGTGACAATTAACAGTTCCTATAAATCAGTAATCTAAATGTTTTGAAACTGAAAGTCTTTCCTTTATCCATACTACATCACAAGTATAAAGCAATATTTTATGCTGAGACAGGCTGAATTCTGAACATCCAAATGCAGTTGTTGTTATGTGAAGACAAAAACAGCAAGTCAGGAATCTGATCTGTTTTTGTCTGATGTCTTAACTAATAGTACTTCTAGTATTTATTTACTGCTTTCTCTATGCAAGGACTTTTAGTCCTCTTTAATGGAGGAACATATTCAGTGTTGCTTGTTTGAAGCTATGTTTCATTTAATTAAGTAGTTCATTTCTTGTGAACCTTCAGATTGGTATTTAATCATTATCTATTTTCAGAGAATTTTTGCAGGGCAGGCTCAAGTTTGGGGGGAGGAATTTTTTTTTTAAGAGCAGAATTAAGGGAGTTTATATACATTTGCACTTGAAAACTTGGTGGTGAAGTTTATTCAGGTTCAGTATGTTGCATACAACGTGTGTAAATATTTACTAAACTCATGAGTGCAGTTCGTAAGCCAGTTGCCTCAGGCAGGATCCATAGGCCAAATTAGTATGAACCTTAAACTGCCCTAGCACTCAAATCCAGGTTCACTGTGTATCTATTTCTGAGCTTCTCAGTCTCCCTGTATGAGAAGCGTGTAGGTGGGGTAGCTGCTCATCACACTGGTCAGTGGGATTCTTCCATTCCCAGTCTAGTCTTGCACCTTTAGTTTACTTACATGGTCTTTGAAAAGTCTTTAAGTTGGAAGTTGCCATTCAGAAGTGTGCTATTTGAGCTTGTGTGAAAGATGATGGAGGATGTGGGAAAAGAACAGGAGCTGACATGCTTGCAAGTTACTTATTGGTAAAGTTTCAGCTGAGGTTTCAGGGGAAAGTTGGTTGCCATGATTGCTACATTAGCAAAAGAGAATTGTTCTGTAATTATTTGTTACTTAGCTTTCTGAACTTCTTTCTAAAAGGCTGGTTCAGATACCTACAAAGTTTGGTTTAATGCAAAAACTCCTCTTTTCCAAAGAGACCGCTGTCTTACACTGTGATTTATGTGTACTCAAGTAAATTCTTCCACTACCCCTGTGCAAGCTTGGCATTAGCTCAGGTAGAATTGTGCTCTTTTAAGTCTTCCTCAATACAAGCTGTCGAAAAACGGGGAGAACAGTTGGACTGCTGCTTATCTGTCTGTATTAATAATCAGTTTGTCCTCCTTGCTGCTGCAGTATGTAGACAATGTTTTGAATGTGAACACTCACTCTGTCCTGCCTTCAAGCTGAAGAAACTGATTTGTGACAAACTAGAATCTCTGACAAGCACAGCACTTTCTGTGAGGTTTTGAAGGTGTATTTATGTAGCCCATGGAAGAATGGTGCAGCTGAAAGAGGAAGCACCTCGAAGAAGTAGGCAGTAAGTAATGCCAGCCAGTGCAGCTGATCATCTTCTAGGATGGAACCTAATGGAACCTAAGAAGAAGGAACCAAATCATTTAATGGAAACTTCTAGCAGAAAGTCAGAGCTGCACCAGGGAAGGAAAGTGTGCCAGCAGTTTGAAAGAGGCTTCAGACATTTCCCTGCAGAATCAGTGTTCTCTTATGGTGTGCCTGGTCCAGAAGGGAGTTAATGGAGTGGGAAGATGTTGCTCGAAGCTGATCAACTTAAGATAACTCTGGGCTGATTATGTTTCTCAATTGATGTCCTTCCTTGTGGGAGGCAGAGGGGAACAGAGTTTTAGAGGAGCTCTGTCCAAGCTTTTGGCTTAACAGAGTGGTCTGAAATGTAATGATTCTTAACCATACCTAAGGGATAAAGTCTTATGGCATTCTGATAATAATTTAGGGACATTGAGTAGATCTGCATTAATAGTGGTATGGAGAAGGAGAAAAATATTACAACTGTGTTTGGACATAGGAGAATTTTAATTAACTACCAAATTATTGTCACCTATAATGCCAAAATCATGGAAAGAGGTAATTTGAAATAATCTACTAGGAATTTTATCCTTAAAAAGGAAAATGAATCCTACAGTGAGAAACAAAAATGTTATGATGTTTGCTGTTAAATAGATTCTTTGCTTACGTGTGTAGATCAAGTGTAATAGGTCTAGCAAGGTTGAAATGATGGATGCAGCAGTCTGGTGTGGCTGCTTTGGTGTGCTACTTAATAAAGTTGTATTTGTCATTGATTTTCACCAACAGATAAAAATATGGAGTGTATCCACATAATCTAACAGCATTGACATCCTTGAGCATCCACTGAAAACTGCTCAGTTTCTCAGTGCATGCAGTAACATCAGTGCTTTGTATTTGAAGAAGTGTGATGATCCAAAGCCAAGTGGAATGCTTGTGCTCTTCCAGCACTCTCATTTCAGAAGGCAGGTCATAGTTTCATCTCCGATGATAGTTTCTTGTCTTTTTGTTCGTGGAGCAGTGTGGAAGCAAGAGGTTGTTCAGGACAATTAGACCAAATTTTGTCCAGGTAAGAACTTTATCTCTTAGCACAGTTCTTCAGAGAAAAGGGAATACAGCATATAGCATGTGAGTCTAAATACTTGAATCATAAATTGCTTTTTTATTTTTGCAGCTTGTATTTGCAATAGATAAACCTGAAAGTAATATTACTTACTGGTCAAATATTCTGCTTGTATAAAAGTCATGGAGTTTGACAGGTGCACTCTTTGCTGGGTTAAGAACTGGCTGGACAGCCGGGCAGAGAATGGTGATGAATTGTGATCGACAGGAGGCTGAACATGAGCCAGCAGTGTGCCCAGGTGGACAAGAGGGCCAATGGCATCCTGGCCTGGATCAGGAACAGTGTGGCCAGCAGGAGCAGGGGAGTGATTCTGCCCCTGTACTCAGCACTGGTGAGGCCACACCTTGAGTATTGTGTCCAGTTCTGGGCCCCTCAGTTTAGGAAGGATGTTGAGGTGCTGGAGATTGTCCAAAGAAGGGCAGTGAGGCTGGCAAAGAGTCTGGAGCACAGTTCCTATGAGGAGTGGCTGAGGGAGCTTTATTTAGCCTGGAGAGGAGGAGGCTCAGGGGAGACCTCATCACTCTACAACCACGTGAAAGGAGGTTGTAGCCAGGTGGGGGTTGGTCTCTTCTCCCAGGCAATCAGCAGTAGGACAAGAGGACATGGTCTTAGGCTGTGCTAGGGGAGTTTAGGTTGGACATCAGGGAGAAGTTCTTCACAGAAAAAGTCACTGGGCATTGGAATGGGCTGCCTAGGGGAGTGGTAGAGTTCCCATCCCTGAAGGTGTTTAAGAAAAGACTGGATGTGGCACGTAATGCCATGGTCTAGTTGACAAGGTGGTGTTCGGTCACAAGTTGGACTCTGATCTTTTCCAGCCTAGATGATTCTGTGATTCTGAGCTGTCCTCAAAGTAAAGTGGTGACTCTTCTTATCAACAGTTTTCTGTGGAAATACTTTATTTAAGACAGCCTGTAGCTATATATGTGAACTACCCTTGCATAAAAACAAGTGGTACCCAGATTGTAAAACTGAAACCTCTTGGAGATTTGTCTCTGGGTAGTCTTGTATGGGAGTGGGGCTCCTTTTGTGACTTGGTAAGATTTCACTGTAACTCTGCTTCATGAGCTTGTGAATCTACAGTTGCCAAATGTTTTACTGTCAGCTCTTACTTTGGAATGTTTTGTGGGTTGTTTTGGATTTGGGGTTTTTTGTTTGTTTGTGGGTTTTTTTCCCCAGTAAGTGCTACAGATTTGATTCTTTTATTAAAAATAATAAAACTTGCAATTTTAATATTCTTGTTCATGCCTATTTCCGAAAACAGTTTTGCTGTTACCCATGCTATTTGCCAACTTCACTTCTGTAGAAGTATTCGCTCTGTTAATATCAGATGGCCAGGTCATATCACAGAAACCTCACTTCATATTTTTGCAGTGTTTTCTGAAGAGAGAACTCAGTTTCCTGACTTGTGAGCTATTTGGGTAGTATGCTTGGAGCAAGGTAAGGCCCTCACATTTTTCAAAGGGAAACCTCCCTCCCACTTGGCCATAAACCTGTGCTGACACCTCTTTTAAATTCTTCCTTACGTCACTGGAATTAAATGCATCACCTGGTGTCAGCAGATGCAGGATGGGATTTTAACTCACAGAAATAGGCCTTTAGGTGGAAAGCGAAGTTGTATTTTGTTTATTAGTTTATTTAAGCCAAATTATTCAAACACACATGTGGCTTCTCAGGGTGCTTCAGCTGGGGTAAATCTCTGCACTCCAAAATATCTGTTGAACAGGTTGGTTTCTGGTATTCTGCATTTGAGTTTGTCTGTGATGGAAGTGGGTTTAGGTCAAACCTGCTGCTTGTGCCTTTGCACAGAGTGCATCCAGACAGTCCGCTGAAAGAGCAAATTCAGGCCTTTGTTAGTTCTGTGCTTCTCACATTTGAGTGTGTATCCCTCCAGACTGCACCCTTCCTCAGGTCACACAGTGCCCCATGCTCTGGCTGCTCAGTAATGTCCAAGCAGCACCAATGCCCCTTCTCAGCTGATCCTTCAGCATTGTTAACACAGCTGGGTGGGACTCGGGCAGCTTTACCTCTGACCAGGGTCGATGAGACAGGTGGAGGCAGTAACGTGCACTTACCCCTCCAGAGCCAGGTGACAGCTGGGGGTAATGGATATGAATCCAAGAGGAGGGTTTCATGATGCTGTCACATCAAGTGTAACATCACACAGTTAAGGCTGAGTTCTAAATAATGCAGCCACTACCTCTGTTACATCTTTTCATTTGACTTTGTGCTTCCTGCATTTACAGTGGGAGGTTTTTTGTGTGCAGTGACAGTTCTCAGTTCCTCTCAACTCTATAAAAATGTTGCATTCGGTCCCTTCACCTCCCCTTAACACTTCTATTTTCCCTCACTCCCAAATCAGCCATGGAACTGAAGGCTGTGTCAGGGCAGGTACCATGGCTATGTAAATCAAAGGACATGAGGGGCAGTGATGAAGCTCCAGGCACACAAGTATAGACTCTACCTTCTTCTGTTCGTGCAGTTCTTGCAGCAGATGCCTAATTAACCAGGCAGCAGAAACCCCAAGGGAAGGCTTATCTGTCTCTAGCCAAGGCATGCAAAACATCTGAAGGTCCCTGCTGCTGTTTTGGCTGGGCAAGGACAGTGCTGCAGCACTGCAGAGCTCTTGCTGAGCACGCACCTTCAGCAGATAAACCCAGAGGTGAGATTTAATGATACTTTGGGCAAGTATAAACAGAAAGCTGCTTTCTTTCTTTTTTTTTTTTTTTGGTAGTCAAAGTTGACCTACAAAGCTTACTTCACGTGTTTTCTACTCTGGAGTCAATTTAGAAGTTGACATTTTTATACAGTAGAACATTAGATTGTTAAATTGTTAAAGAGCATTTCCCTTTTTATTTTTGAAGTGGTACAAAGAAAGATGGATACTGCTACCATTTTTTCAGGTAAAAAATCTAAAGCACCAAGAGATTAGGTGATTTTGCTGAAGACAGCAAAGCTGTGCTGGCTCCCAGGCCTGGCTGGTGACCGAACAGGTCTTCTATGCCCCGAGCAGCAGGCTGTGGTGTGGTGCATGAGCTGCACACAGAAATGGACCTGGGCTGACACTGTGCGAAGTGTTGGGATCAGTAATAGGCAGCTTCTACCCCCTCAGCCTGTCAGACAGGAAATCTCCCATCTGAAATGCTCTTCCCCTGAGTTAATTCAGCACCAGGACTGGCATTTCCACATTCCTCCTACCTAAACTGGCTTTTCACCTCTGTTCCTTTGCAGCCAAAAAAAACAAAAGGTGATCCATCCACCTTTAACTCTTTCCCAGAAGTGGAGATAGCAGATCCCCTATCAATAAATGTGAAGCCAGGGCAAAAGGAGGTCAAGGAGGGAATGCTCTTGAGCTGCCTCTGGCAGGCTCTGTACACTGTAGCTGTGCTGGCTGTCGGGCTTTCACCCTTCCACCTTTATTTAGGATTTAGCAGTGCCACTGTGTGGATCAGAATTCTGATTTGTAGATGATTTTCAGTCCCTTGCACTCAAAAGTTTTACTGTGCAGAAAAGCAGAGAGCTAATACAACCACTTCTATATGAAGTGCCTATATAACACTACAATAGTTGAAGATACACATTAGTTTTTTTAGTTTTAGGACATTCTTGATATTTCCTAACTGCTCTTCCTAAACAAGCAGTATTTTCCAAATCAAAGTTAATTTTCCTTTGTGCAGTGTCTGGACAGCATGAAGTTAACCTTCTTCCTAGCAGGCTGTTGCTGGGCTGTGTTTTGGATTTGCAGCTAAACCAGGGCTGATAACACAGCTGTGTTTTGGCTGTTGATGAACTGTGTTTGCACAGTGTCAAGGCTGTCTCTTCCCTCCCTTGGCCCCTGCCCAGGAGGTAGGTCAGTGGTTAGGAGGGGACACAACTAACCTGAGCTGGCCAAAGGGGCTAATCCATGCTCTATAGCATCGTGCTCAGCAATGAAAATAAGGAAGTGGTGTGGGAGGGTTATGTGTCTTAATTTCCATACTTTGCTCTCATTTTTTTTCTGAAGGCTTGTCTCTAAGGAAGGAGATCATCCTTCTGAGATTGCACCTTAAGTCCTAACTTTGCAGTATTCATCAGGGCTTGCATTTGAGAAGTTTGTAGCTATTACTAATCTTGCCCGTCTTTTCCTTCACCAGGGAGTGCTCCTTCAGAAGTCAAGCGAGAAAAGGCTACTCCTCTTGTGTAATCATACCAGGACTTTCATTTAGGTGCTCTGAATCCCTTTTTCTCTCTTCCCTCTTTCTACCCTCTCTTGGCTGCCTATGTCAGCAGCATTCAGGCATTTTGGAGAGCTGACTAGCAGGTATGTGTGCTGTTCCTCCAGGAGTTACTCTGGGCTCATGGGAAAGATAAAACTGTCTTTCTACAGTTACAGTGCAGTGCCAATCTCCAAAGTCCCAGACATCAGATACTGCTCCCCATGAAGCTGTGTGGCTGCTCTCTAGTGGGAAGTCTAGGTGCTTCATGACAAGACATCAGTTCGCACCAGAAGGCACATAGACACCCAGTCCTACAAATTCCCAAAATAGCTCTCTGCCTGCCCAGGCAACAAAATAGCTCAGTCTGCAAGCCATTTGCTCTTACAATCCCCTGTTCTGTAGAACAGAAGGCAGATAGTCAATTGAATACATCACAGATAAAGAAACAGCATAGAACATGTATGTTACAACTGTGCATTACCACGTTTTACACTGACTTTGGAATCAGAGTAGGAGCAGAAACACTCAGGTCAACTTCACCATTGGTATGTTCTGACTCTAATGCTTATTTCTATTTAAGAAAAAAAAAATCATAAAACTACCTATACATCAGAAGAAAATAATCTTATTCAATATTTCATGGTATTGTTAACATGCTAGCCAGACCTGCACCTTTAAATAAGTGTTCCCTAATCAGACAAAGAGCTCCTGATGAATATATCCACATTTTAAGCAACTGTGACTCCAGAATCTCAAAATCAACATATTTCAAAGCTGACTGCCTCTCTAAAACCTTCTCATACCATGAAGATGAAAGTTCAGTTGTTGCTTTTCACAATACAGAAAAAAATATGAAGAAGGAAAAGGAAAATTATTAGCAAATTGAAAATTTGATCCTTCAGTTGAAAGCAGTAGTTGGAATATACTGGGAATATATTTTGTTTTGCTTTAGTGATGCTGAATTTCTGTTTTTGATGTTCTACATAATCACCACCAAATAAGATGCACAGCTTAAATTAGGTATAAAGAAACTAAATTTGGCATGATTTATCCAGTAATTACCAAGTGCAGTTTTAGAAAGTATCTGTTAATTTATTTCATATACATGTATTTACACTGAAGGAAATTCACATCACTGAAAATACAACATTTACACATTCACAGATATACAGTTTTGCACTCTTCTGTGTGAAGATCTGGCACTCAGCTTTTTTATCTCTGCAATAACGACAACATCAATTTTCAGCAGATCAAACAACGGGCAGGTTTGGTGGATTTTTAAGCATCATGCTCTGTATTTGGTGGTTATTTTCTTCATGCTTGTAGATAGTGGGTTATTTCACTGAAGAAAAATGCCCTTTGCATGGCATTTGCAAAAGCTTCTATAAATCATAAGCATATATATATATATATATAGTTTCTGTTTTACTATGTTATCAGTCATCCTTACTCTATATAGAGTTCAGTTATCCTTGTAGTAGTTATTAAAGTTGATTCGCAGCAGAAAGTCCTCCAAATGTGGTTGGTATCCTCTGTTTACAAGCTTCGTTACCACTGGAAGAAAAACAAAAAAAAAGTAAGCTTCAACTAAGATTAATATTCCAAAGTCAGCCTTGACAGTATCTGTGCCTTTTAATGAAAAAAAAAAAAAGTGCCTAATGTAGAAATCTGAGGACAATAAAAACAAATGTACATTTCAACGTAAGTCCAGTATCTCTTTCTGGAATTATGAACTATTTCAAAAAAGATGCAGAAGACTATGTGTTGGTTCTAAGTGAAAGTGTATTATTCTAACAGAACATTTCCTTATCAAGTTGCATTCACAGAAACATGGAAATCATAGAATCTTTCACAGTTAGGTAGTATGTTCTTATCATAATTTCAACTGACCAGGAAGCACATTTAGGTCCTCTGGTGACCTTCAGCTCTGCTGAAGTTTTCTCGAGCAAAGTCCATTGTGAGAGAAAAACCAAAAATTCCTAGGACAAACCCCTCAGGCTCTATGAATGAACAAACCAACTACTCTAAACATCCTTAATTACAAAGGAAAAAAGCCAGTAGAAACTCCCTAAGCTCACAAATATCCCATGCACTAATATAAAGGGAATTAGCAAGCAGCAGGAGCATGCAAGGAAGAAGGGAAAGTGTATTGTTAGAAGTTAGGGCCCGAGCCAAAGCCATTGAAGTCCAGACAACTTTGTATTGGCTTTCAATGGATTCTGGATCAACCCACTGTGGAAAGAGAGCATTTTACAATACATGGTGACTAAAGGTACAAGTGGAAATGAACAAGCACACATTTGCTTTGTAGTGCTTAATAATGAGGGTGTAAAGAACTGGGTCACTCATCAAATCTCCTTACGGAATGGTCTATTAATCTCTGTCCATGAAGCAACCATAGATCTCGTAGTATGGACTTAGGCGGCTCCCAGAGGTGTTCTGACTTCCTGTAGAATTTGGAAGCAGCCATTCTAACTCATCCTGAAATATTTGTTTTTGGTCCTTTGACACCATTTTTGGACACCCTTAAAGAATAAAAAGGGCAGCTCATTTCCTGAAGAATATAGTCTGACTAGAAAATATTCTAGAAAAGATCTAGAAATAGATCTAAGGAAAACAGTTGCACCTCCTTCAGGGATTCGGGATTTTCTAGAAAAAGGAACCCAAACCCCACGAACCACTTTTGTACTAGAGGAATGATAAGGAACTTGTACTAAAAACACAAGGAAGATCTGAAAGAGAAATGGAGAGGAAAGACAGGTAACCATTTCTTCACACTATAGCCTAAGCTGACAGATAAAACTTTATCATGTTAAAGGAAAGAACATTTGGCAAATGATCTGTGTAGCTGCAAAACACTTGCCTGGAGCACTGGCTTTAAGCTCCAGCTAGTGCTAGGAGGCTCTCTGAGCTTTAATCCAACATGGGAATCAGAATTCTCAAATCTGATACCCATAGCAATACTCAACTAGTGCATATATATCTAACATTACTTCTAAGTGTTATCTAGTTATCTCTCATTGCTGCCAATAAAAAGTTCCAGAACTCAATTCCAGAGAGAAGAAAAAAATGTATGCACATATATAGAGCTAAATACCAAATGCTTATTTTGTAAATTAGCAAAAACTTACAGTTTTGGGATATCTGTTAGATTTGTTGTGTGGACATTTTAATTAATGGATATGCAGATCTTTGCAAACAACAATAATGAAGTTTTCGTTTGGGAATTACATTTTCTAACACTAAGTACACACATGTTCCTACTTTTACATTACACTACCAAAACATCTATGTAATTTTTCAGCTGTCAGTTATTTTTTCTTCTATCTAAAATTTATGCAATTTCTCACCTTTGAATAAGAAATGGGAGTAATACTTGAAGGTATTGTATGACTGCTGCATCAGACCAAAGTTGGGATGAACAGCCATTTGCTTCCCTGCATCGAAGCTCCATGACTGAGAGATGAGCTGGCTGCGGAACTTCAAAATAAGGCTGAAGATGCTGTGTATGATGTTCATCACAGGGGCTGCCTTCTCTGTCAACAGACCCCTAAAAGAAAAAAAAACAACTTTAGAAATTAGGTGACATAATTTATTGGCTGCAAGACTAAAAATACAATGGGGCGACAATCCCTTAGGTTAAAGGAGGTAATTGCTTGAAAAAAATCCACAAGACTGCAGCCAACTGTAATGGAGATTTTAAATGAGGTGCCTAAAACTAATATACTTTGCTTGCACTTCCAAGAAACTGACCTGATTTCTAGAATGATATCTGCATTTGCAAAAGAGATGACATTTAAAAACATTATGCTCTGAGTTTCTTTAAACTTTAATCCTCTCTCATCCCACCCACCCCGGTATCCAAACAGCAGCTCTAGTAAGTTGTTTCTGATTAAAACTGGAAGACACGTGAAAGGAGAGGTTTCTCCTCTTGTTCATAATTTCTGTTCTTTATCATCTCTTCTCCCTCCATATCACCCCTTTATCATTCCAGTGTACACTCTTCAAGAAGAAACCAAATAAACTCTAGGCTTCTTTCTTCACATCACCCCTCTGCCTCATATACAGTAACCAAGGGACTAAAAGCTTGTGATTCCTAAAAGGTGTCTCTAGCATTGCTCATAAATGTAGACAGAGACATCTTTTTGTCCCTTCAAAGCCCAGCCCTGGTCACTGCATATTAAAGGCACATAAAAGGTATAGGAGAAGCATTTTACATCCTTCAGCAAGGCTTACTTGTGCACACTACTCATGCTGAATTGAACAGCAGTAATTTACAAAGGCTATGACAAAGGATGGGGTGAAAGCAAAACAGAACTGTGGCAAGAGTGCCCTTAGTTTAGAGGTCTTAGTTTAGAGCTGTCCTGAGTAGACTGGAAAACTTGCAGAGGCACAGTGAACAGGAGCAGGAGGTAATTCAAGGAGTTCAGGGAAATGAAAAAGATGGATAGATGAGGAAAAGCATCAGAAAAGTACAGACCTCATAACATACCATGAAGTTTGTTTTCCTTACATAAAAATACTTTTGTAGTTTTTATGAAACACTTACACACTTAGTGTGTCAGGTAGAAGTCAGTTTTGCACAAATACATTAGGCTAGGACTGGTCACTCCATTAACCTAAATATTTGAAGTAAAAATAAGAATGGTAGCTTGCCTGAAGATTGCTTTGTTGAGGTATTCAGCATGGGTTCTGTGAATTTCTTCCAGGTTGCCCACAGAAGACAGTTTGTTTCCAAATTCGCACCATGTAACATGAAGAATCTGATTAGCAATGTAACCTTGAATAACTTTCACAAAATGCTGCATTTCATGCTTATACAGCTGGAGCTGTCGAAACTGAACTGAATTTGATGCACGACTCACTAAAGCTGAAAATAAAACCAGAAATGCATTATCGTCAGCATCCACAGAGACCACCTAAACCCAGGATTTTTAAAGTAATGAAGGTTTCTGTTAGTACAGTCTGTCTAAAATGCCAAGGATGATTCTTAAAGAAACTATGGCTTTTGAAGCTTGACATGACTCTTTATAAGCAACTGTCTAGCAGAAGGTGCTAAAGGCATTTTAAACAGGATGCTCTCTATTTCACTCCTAATACTTACCAGTACGTTTTAAGTGAAACCAAACATCCTTGAGAGTCCATACCATGTGCTTCAGCTGAAGCAAAAAGGAGAAGATCTTGTTGTACTTATTCATGCAGCTCTCAGTAATGACAATGTTCAGAGGCCAGTCAACCTAAAAGAAATAACAGTGCTGATCATACTACATTGTTTGTTAGAAATTATAAGATTATTAAAAATACAAGTATTTCAACAATTTAATGTACATATTTTAATAATGTAGTGCAATAAATCCTGTAACTTCCATTACACAATTATTTTACTCCATTCTTAAGAACATATTCACTCTACCATGGTACATAAGAACCATGGCATAATTGCACTGTTCTGCCTTTCTGCATGCTTTCTTACCTTGTACCTTAGCTCTAAGCAACTCAGAGCATCGGGTGCATTGGGCTTGAACACTTCTGGAAGATACTTGAGGGCAAAAGAAAGATTGGAAGCAAGCTGGGTATCACCATGAAGACTGTACTGTAATGCTTTATTTAAAATAGAATTAAGAACCAGTGGATTCAGCAATTCCCCAGGTGTCTGTCCTGATCCAAGCTAGGGATTAAAAAAAAAAAAAAATCCCAATTACACAGTAAAGAGTCTTGGCTCCTGAAAACAGGTGAATTAAAGCAGAAAGTGGTGACAACCCTGCCTGGATTAAAAATTTTTACATCTGCTGTAGGGATGCGTGAACAGCATAAGAAGCAACTTCTGAACTATTTGCTGTTCATAGCATGAAGGTAATCTCATACCTGGACTGATTTATTTTCATATGTCTGCTGTGGTTCAGGAGCTGCTACACGTTCCTCCAGCAGGGAATGCAGTTTTTAGAAAGCCAGGGACAGAACAGGCATTTACCTGACTTGAATCTGCCTCTCTCTTCAACTCAGCACTCTCAGAGGTTTACAAATAAAGCCATTCATTGAGTGCTTTCTCTAGTTTGGGTCTAAAGCATTCTTAGGACTCATGGAAATGCTGTAACTCCCCTACAGCCACCCATCTCCACTGGCAACCAGCTATATTAACCCTCCTACTTTGCTGTCTTCCCCCCAGACACAGCAGTAAGTCATGAAAATACTGTCTCATCAGAGGGCCCAGCTCTCTTTTCTCTCTATTTAAGGATATTTAAGGTAAGGGAAGGTATCTAGCAACACAGGGCCTTCCAGTGGATTTTAGCAAATGGCTACAGGCTCTCCAGCCCTGCTGCCAGCAGATGGGAGGGGACAGCAGTAATGCAGCAGTTTTCACAGTAAAGAGTGAAATACCCTTCCATGACTCCTTATCTGCCGAAGACCTCCTTTTGCCTCTGTCCTTACAATGTTAACAGTTTCTTGATACAAGACTTGTCAACACAGTACAAAAGAGGCAAATGCCAAAAGCCAGGGTCTAATTCACACCATTCCCTCATTCCCATCCAAATTAATTCAGAGGTATCAAGCCGAAACAGACAACCCAAACACAACGATTAAGACAACAAAGCAAATACCTTCTCAAACAACAGGTCACTGAGTGACTGAGCAAACTCCCCATCTTCCATTAATAAAAAGTGTCTCAGTGCTTCAAAATGCTTCTCTACGTTCAGCTCCACAAAGTAGTAATCAACTATTGCTTTGTTCACAAGAGAAACACTAAGAATAAAACCACAGAAAAGGTATTATACTTAAATGCAATGCCTTCCTTACTGTTAACATTCAGCTGTGGCTACATCAGATTAATGCTTCAGAACTTAAGACAGTATGATATCCACTTAGGCAAAAAAAATGAGACAAAAAATCTTCATCCAGAATATACCAGAATTAAAACCTATCACTTCAGGTAACTGGGCTTTGAACAGTACTGGGGATGTATTTTAAGGCCAGCTACGTGTAAAGATCTTCAGAACATGCTGCTGGACCTGGAGCAATATCTTATCAATAACCTTCTTATCTCTGTCATCTACAAAAATAGATTAAGAAAGACTATTAAATCCCCAAGAAGAATTACACTAGTTGGTAAAGCTCTGTCACCAGACATTGATGGCAGGTCTACACTACAGTTTACAGTGTAATGTAGGTATTCAACATAGCTTTAAATAATTTAACTTGCCTATCAGGGATTGGCTAATTCTGCCAGCACACAACTCGGGCTTGCTCACTTTGCTCTGCCAGATGCGTGAATCTGTACACAGATCATTCTGGGAGCCAGTCTGGATGTTTAAAATTAAATTAGATAATTATATCTTTCTACATTGCACCAAACTTTGAGTATAGCGTACTCAGAGCTAGTAAATGGAAATTCAGACCTACAAGAAAGCAGATTCCAAAAGGGGAATTAATGCATCTGTGATCAACTGTTTTCGTGACAGAAGCTAATCTTGTACATAATAGCAAAAACTTTTATTTAAAACACCATTAGATATACCTGCAAAACATATATGTGGTTTCACTGTATATCCCAATTGTAACAAGAACAGCTTCTATTATACTTCAAAACAGGCCTGAAGCTGGAATTCCCATAGAAACATGAAATATGCCCTGATCAATATGCATGAGCTTCCACATAATCAAAAGATTTTTCTTCTTTTACTCCCTTAGTTTTCATTTGCCAAATAAAACCATATACATTATAAACAATATACCTTCTTTTTAAAAGAACAACGAAACCAATGGTGTCAAAATCACCGCTGCATAATCCACAAGCTGGAGAGCAAACACTTCCCTCTAAGCCCTTGTATTTCAAACAGACATTCAAATTTTTAATTCATACATAAAAATCTAAGTTTATGTTACTATTTATCACATAGATCTAAACTTTTTAATTAGTAGTGGACCATCCACTGAATCACTTCTAGGAGCAAAGAGTAAATTTAAGAGAACACACCCTTATGCAACTCTTGTCTCAAAACCGAACACAACATTAACAGCTAAATTAATTGCTAAATTTCTAATAAATACTCACTGAGATACAAGTGGAGCAGTAATAGAACGTTTCATCAGCACTGGCAAAGACAAGAGCTCACTCAGCTGTACAGCAGTTTCATCTGTTGCCGACTGCACCGTAGGATCCACAGGAAAAGTATATGATCTTGGTATCACATGATGCAAGAGATGAGAAACTGGTAGTTCTGCTAAATTTGAAAATATATAAACATTGTAAGTTATTAGATTCAAGAAGTTTGATAATATGTTCCTATTAAACTCTACAAACACCTCTAGGGTAACTCTACAAACACCTCTTTGTGCCTATGAGCAAATTATTTGGCTATTGCAGTTCATAACATCAGTAATTTACTGTTAAGTCAGGGGGTTTTTTTGGCACTCAGCTTTCTTGATCAGGTTTGTCACATCTTCTATTGATCTACTGTTCCAACAGTTGTACTCACACATCAAATCATAACTATCTTGATATTTTTCAATACAATACTGATCCGATAAGGCCTTCAAATAAGCTTGTTCTTTCTTCCATGTATCTTCCTCTTCCCCCTCCCGTTCCTTAGTCTTGGAAGCATTCTCTTCAGAAATTAAAGTTTCTTGAGGTACAGTATCTTGTGGAATGGCTTTTTCAGGTTCTTCTGCCTAAAACACATAAATGGACAATTTTATGAGAGATGCTGGCTTTGTCTGCTCAGGCTTAATGTGTATCTGACCAGCTGTGCCAACTGAAAATACAAGAGCCTACTCTGTACATTTCAGACAGGTGAAACCAACATGGTTTTACAGTGACTATTAGATCAGGAGAGAAACTTATCACCTGAACTACCAGTATGTTCAATTCTTCAAAGGAAAAATAAATCTTTTCAACAACTACTTCTGTTTCTTACCTGTAAGCTCTGTGAGGAGTCTGGAGAAGGGTCCTTGTTGACCACGTCTGCAATTACTGTAAATACATTTAAAGACAGCATTTACTTATACTTACTTATAATACTTAGTTCATACTTCAGATCTGCTTCTGAAGTTATTCAAAATTTCTTTACAAACCTTCACAGAAACAACCATCCCAATAAGAGTCCCTCCTCATAGTCCCACCCCACCATTTTTATGCATGTTCTCTGCTCAAGAACCCACAATGCCCTGTTTCATAGAGTTTCAGGCTAGAATTTTTTAATGCTGTGTTTCTTGTCTGTAAAAGACAAGATTACGCTCTATTCTTTCGTCTGAATTCTAGCAGTATCTGAAAAATTATGCAAGGAATTAAGTAGTAAGTACCCATTTTGAACATTTACAGTTACTTTCACGAGCCCTTAAATGCTGACTGAATAAATTCCATTTCATTTAATTTTACCTTCTTGTTTCTTTTCCATTATATTTTCTTCTTTATTGTCTTTAATATTAGCATCAAAGTCTGTAACACTGTCAGGCATCTGTGACTGTGGCAAAGTTTCTTCCTTAACTTGTGACAGTTTCGCTTCCTTTCTGCTCCCTTCAGCGGGAGATAACTCTTCACTGTACAGAAGTGTCTGCACTGTGGAGTCGGATGAAGAACCTGAAATGGCTTTACGATGAGGTATTGGATCATTTTCTGTAGATGGGGCCCACTTCCCTATTTGGATGCTTGACTGGGATGCGTGTCCAAATGGGCTCCAGCGGGATTTCAAAGGCTCTGTATCTGAAACCAGTTCTCCGATTTTGATGTGTGACTGTGACGCGTGCCCATGGGTGTTCCAACGAGGTCTAGCTGAGACCACCTCCGACACATTTTCACCAATCTTGATATTGGCATCAGATGCATGGCCATGGATGTTCCACCGAGGCCTTGTAGGAGCTACATTTGACACATACTCACCAATCTTAATATTGGCTTCTGAGGCATGTCCATGAATGTTCCACCTAGGCCTTGAGGGCTCTGTCTCTGAAGCATATTCCCCAATTTTAATATGAGCTTCAGAAACATGCCCATGAATATTCCATCGAGGTCGGCTAGATTCAACTTCAGAAACACAGCTGCTGATTTTTATATGGGAGTCTGAAGAATGCCCATAAGGGCTTGAATGTGGCTGGTAAGTGTCCACTTGAGGTACATATTCTCCCACTCTAATGTTGGCATCAGATGCATGTCCATGCATATTCCACCGAGGCCTTCTGCATTCCACATCAAATACATTTTCTCCAACTCTAACATGTCCCTGCCAAGCTGCAGATGGTCTGAGGACTGTATTAAAATCATACTCTGTTTGCTGATGCAATGGTGCATTGTCTTCTCCTTCTGGTGCTCCTCCCAAGACAGGCTGACTTTCACTTACTTGAGAAGTCTCAGAAAGATCTGAGTTAATATTTCTGAATGCTTCATCTAGCGAAGATCCTTGTATGCTAATGGCAACAGACTGTTCATCTTGTGGCTTTGATAAGAAATCTTCAATATTCACACTGGATTCAGGTAGGGAGTCAGCACTGCATAGAGGACTGCAAGCTTTCTCTGAACTTTGGAGACTGCTTTGAGATCCTGCTGCTTCATGCTGAAAATGCTGATCAGCACCACTGTTTGCTGGCTCTGGCATAGGCAGTGCTTTGTCAGCAGAAGGAGCATATTCCTGTTCAGGCTCAGATTCTTTTCTGTCAATTGTCTCATTAGAATGCAGAGGTTCCACAGAAGACACCTAAAAAAAATAAATAATTATTACACTGTATGGCTAGTCGGATAGTCAAACTACTAATTAGGGTACCACTTTATCACAGGATTTAAAATTTTCCAACTTTTCACATGTACTATAAGTAAGGGATAACTACTCACTCTGCTGTTACCATGAACCTTGAGTTTAGTGAACTGAAATGGATGATGGAATTAACACCCTTTAGGGAAACTTGGAACAGCAACTTGGAGTTTATGTAAGAAAATGAACTCACCTGTGAAGGTGGATCTTTCTCAACAGGGCTTTTATCCAAAGCCAACTGGGACTGTTTAGAAGGAATAATATCTAATTTTCTCCTGTAGTTTCCATCTGGAAGTTTTTCAAGCATTTCCTACAAGTAAAAGACAAACCCAAAAGTCCTTAAGTACCAAATATCAAATTTTCTAAATTACATTTCTTAAATATTTTCAGAAGATACCTCAATGCGCTTTTGATCTTCTAACAGAAACTTAAGACGGGCTGTTTCCAACTTGTGTCGCTGGATTTTCCATAATGTTCTTTGTTCCCTACGGGCTGCATCATCGGAAAGTTTGCTATAATGGTCAATTAGTTCCTGCCTAAATGAAGGTAAAAATCAAGATAAGTTATAGATTTTTGCATACTGATTTTCATCTTCTCTTCTAAAGAATAAGGCACTAAAGTACATCTAAAGAATAGTACTTCAGAACTGAGAAGCAGATTTTAAAATGTAGAAGCCAGAGGCTTCAACCACAGACAATAAACAGGTAGAAAAAACCAGGACTGTATTCTTAGTCAATATGTATTTCTGAATCTATTCTTAGTAGGCCACTCATTTATCTTAAGTATTTTTAGGTATAACAGAAGAAAGTGAAATATCAATCTAATTCCTTCATCTACTTTTTACTTCTGCTTTGACATACATGCGATCATTTTTGCTGTAGGTTCTGCTTTTACTTGTAAGATGGAGCTAATTTTTTTCCTGAAATTTTGATTATAACAAAACCCAGACTGGATAGGGTTGGCACAAATTAGTGGGTCCTAGATTTTTGGGCCACTAACCATTTCTGACAAAATTGCTCATAGATTACCAAAAATCCTTACATCCACCTTTAACTGCAATTACCCTTGTAGAACAGTGTCTGGGAACTACTAGTACCATAAACTTCAATACACAATAATTTTTTCCTGAGGTCTTTATGATGGTTTTGAAGACTATTCGCATACATTTACCTTGCCTTTTTTTCCATTTCCTCTTCTAAAGCTTTCAGTCTTCTCTCTCTCTCTCTGAGCTCTCGGGCATAGCTGAAATCATCATCAATCTCCTCCTGCTTCATTGCAAGGCGACGCTGCATAAATATTTAATACTTTTAAAAGCCACTCTCAATACCAGCGGTAAATCACACATCTGCAACAAGTTCTTATTTGTACCTCATGAGTTATTCATTCAACTTCAGTACAATAAATCAAGATAGCCTTTCATTTATTTGCCTAAGAAATACAGCTGGCCTTTAGAAACACACAGAGATACCTCTTGGTCTTTTGCAAACTGGTCTTTCAGCTTCTGAAACTGTTCCCGTTTCTTTGCATCCAAAGCCATTCGTTCTGATATTTGCTGATCTGTATTAGAAGATACCATTAGTTCACATCAACAAACCCACTAGAAAACACATAAAACACCACTGCAACTTACCACTAATGGCTTTTAGTACTTTGCTGGCAGTTTCCCGAGCGTGAACAATTAATTCTTGTTTGGCTATTTCCATGCGCAAATCCTAAAAAATAAAAGAAGAAACAAAAACACTGGTGGAAGTTTTTCTGTTATTTTAGATTTGAAAATACACTGTTGCAGACAGGTGCACACTTTATGATCGTTATTAATATGTTAATATAATACAGACATATGAGTAAAACAATTAATTAAATGGAAAGTCTGCAAACTACTATTGGAAGTTAATACTCCAGATCTTAAAACAAACCAAATCCATCTGATACGTACACACTACATGATGGAATCTGAAGGACAAAAGTCTCTAACTAAAAAGTTCTGAAAAAACAATTAGCTACGCAAATTACAAATAGTCTATCTGGTTACTAATTAGCTTGTCACATTTGTTAAATTAGGATCAACAATCTTTTCAGTAAGAGGATAAATCTGATGCTGCAAAGACCTAAGACGAAAGTCCAACACTCGATTAATATATGAAAATGCAACACGCTACCTATACTTTCAAAAGTTATATTAAATAAACTTGCTATGATAACAATTAAAACAGCAATTGACTATGACTAACTAAAAATTTTAACTATAAATACAAATTCTTTAAAAGTTACAATAAAAATGAAAATTAACGATTTAAAAATAAAAATCCCAATGAGGTATTTATTCCTTTGTTATTTACCTTTTCCTCCTTGCTTATGGAACTGTATCGGGCAATTCTTTCCATTCGACCTACATACACTGCACAGTCTCTCTCTATCTCTTTCAGTTCTTCAAGTGAAAAAATAACTGAAATCCGAGGAACAGGTATATCTGACCAACATATATAATGCTGAAAAATGAGAAATTTCCTTTTAAATACATTTTTTAAATAGCAAAATTTTATATTATGTACTCATATATTTCTTCTAGACACTGACACAAGTCTCCATACAGGATCTAAAATTGTTTATAAAAATCACTGGGTTTAGTGTTTATATTATTCAGTGTAGGAGACAGAGGTACAACGTTCCACAACTTGGATCACAGGTCAGATTCTCAGGGTTTTGTCTTTACAGGATTGGACAGGAATCTAAAATGCAATACATACATTTATACTAATCATGCTCTAAACATCTCAAATTTCCTTTTCTGAATATCCAGATTAACTGAGCATGAGTATTTCAGTGCTGAATGCACCTCTCCTGTCAAAAGTTACGTTTTATTCACTTACATTCCCCACAGATCCCCACTCAGTAGGAAACGCCTGGAACCAACCCACACCTACAGGAGGGAGCTCCACACAAGACATAACTGTCAAAAATACGGTCAGTACACACCTCAGAGTACCTATTCTTTAAATATCTTAGCTCTTTCTACTCCACCTCAACACCCCTAAATCTCTGAAGCTGTTCTACTCAGTGCAGAAAAAGGGTAACTGAGCTTGGGAAAAAAATTTAGGAAGTGCACAAGCACACTCACACTGGATTCCCCTGTCTACCCGTTAAGAGCCAGAAGATGGGATACCCAGAGGTGTGTTCCTGGGAATGTATCAGACCAAGCATGTATCAGAAGGCAAGAGTCAGCTCTTGAGGCTATTGCTGAAAAATGATGAAATGTCACTGTAACTCGCAGATGGAAGATGACTGAGCTTGGGTGCCACATGACCTGGGGGAATGTCCTACCTATTAAGATGCTGTGTTACTGACTGATAAAGCTGTAAATTATTATGGAAATGATGGCTGACACTTCTATAAAAAAGCCAGTTCTACTGGCAGAAGAGTCATGGTTCGGGAATGCTTATGAGTAGGCTCAGAACTAGCAGAGGGACATTTCATTCTTGAGGTATTAGGTTTATACCTGATACTAGATAGCTGATAATGAGCTGCTCTGCTCTGTCAAGACTCTGATCTTAGAAGGAAAGAGAATATTAGTTACCTGAAAATGAGTGCCTATTGACTTTAGACACCTCTCTGGTTGTTTCATTTTTTAGACACAGAGAGAGAAGAGGGAAGACACAAAGTAGTTTAACATGTTTTTCTTACCAATAAGAAGACTTGTTGTGCAAAATATGAATAAACAGAACTACTTAAGTGCTTGTTGGAAACGTAATGATGAAGCTGGAATACAAGAGCTGTGCAGAACTGAGTCAGGACCTGGTAAGTGAGGCAGCTTCGAACCAAAAAGTAGTGTGAGTTGTGTGAGAAGTGGAATGCCCTTGCTTGGGCACCTAAAACATTTCTGCTTTTAATACAAAGAAAAGTAAGAAATACAGCATGTGCATTGGATATGATAAATTTGATGCTGTTAAAATTTATATTTCTGCAGTGAGGTGTTAGCAAGTAGAGTGGATAATCAGCTCACAAGTATCTGAGAGCAAGTAATTGCCTTTCATCAATTAGCATCTTACTTATGCAATACTGCTTTTCAATAACAGAGTGAACTTGATAAAAACCTATAAACTTCCTTTAAAGAGACATAATTCTCAATGTAATACAAAGGAACCAACCCAAAACTTACCCTAGGACAGCACAATTTCAGCAAGTTTATGGTTTTCCCACATATGTATACATCATTAGCAATATGTTTAAGAAATACAGGGACACAATCTTCTACTTCTTTTGAAATCAAAACATAACCATGAGTCCAGTAATGTTTATCTACATGACAAAAAGATGAAAGCATATATTTTAGTTATTTAATTAACAGCACAAATCATATAAATTGTAAATGCTCCATATATATACTGTACCTCTGAAACAAAGATAATCCTCATTCACCTGGATCATAAATTCTCCATAAACATCTCTGAATACACCACTGTACACCCAATCATAGATAAATCTAAAAAAAATAAAATTGTACAGGAGTGAAAGTCAATCCTCCTTCCTTCTTGTCTTTATTAGAATCAAGCATTTTCTATATTCTTTAAAATACCAAAAGACATAAGCTATAGGCAGGATAAAAAATCAGCAATTAAGTGCTGTGACACTGATATTTAAATATACACAGAGGAGACTGTGGCCCTACACTTTTCTTAAACCATTTTTATATAGAACATTTCAGTGATAATTAGTTTTGGTGAAAGAACAGTGCCTTAATTAAAACAATCTTTTTATTTCTCTGTATCAATTTACTAAGCATACATAAAAATGTATAGAAATCTTTGCAGCACATCAAGAGCACAGAGAGAGATAAGCAGAAAGGATTTGTCTTAGAGAGATAATTTCTGCACAGAAAAACTAAAAGGATATAAAACAAAGATGCAACACCAAGCACTTTTTCCCTGGACACAGAGGCATTTTTAATATATACTGAATAATGAAAACTCCTATTTTGGAATATTTATTTATGTTTTCTCATATTTTCTCCATGTGAAACCAAACTTCAGAAGAAATAAAAATACATTTTCTTTACAACACAATCTGAAGCTATAGATTAAAAGGCTCAGAGCTCCTTGAAGACAATATTTTTTTTCTTACTAACACTGCTTCTAGACGTTGAGTGTAACAAAGAGAAAGCATTTAACACCACAACCACTGTTCGATTTTAAGGTTGTAAGTAAAAAGCTATGAACTTTTAAAGTATTAAATCTGATATTTCTATGATTTATTTGAGTAACAACTTCTATTATTTTATTTCTTTCAGGTTAACAAATGAATGGGATAACACTCTCTGTAGATAATGGAGTCCTCCTTCCATGGCATCCTTGATCATATGATTGATGCTTTGATACATATCTGCACAAATTTAGGAATGAATGCAGTAAGTATCACATACTAGTAAGCACACTTTCAAATTTTTTTAGATTCTTTGTGATACCATGAAATCCTGCCACTGGTATTTTAGAGATCTGACTTCCTTCTATAAATAGGGCAGAAGCTGTGAAGATATTTCAGGGAGTCTTCTGGTAAATCTGAAATTAAATTTCTCTGAAGATCATTTTATGTAAGGAAGGAAAGGGAAGGAAGAAGGATGGAAGAAGGAAGGAAGTAGAAGGAAGGAAACACAAGAAAGGCGGCCATGAGAGGACTCTTAAATTTAGAGCATTTTGACAGACTGTATTCTCTTTCTAAGTATCATTACATCTATTAAGTAACACTGTAAACTGATGATGGACTACAGCTGTAATTCCAGTAAACAGATATTTAAAAAAAAGCATCTCTTCAGAAGTCTATAAGCCAGTAAATTGATATGCACTGCTTAACAAAACTGTTACAATCCAAGGAACTCTACCTCTTATTATCATCTGGTTACAACAGATATTTATTCATTTTTGCTTACTAACAAGCCCACAACAAAAAGATAGTGGAAATAAGCACAATTTTTCCCAGTTTGTGCAACGAGAAGAGAAACTTGTCAGTTGCCATTTTCAGGATTTTACTACAGGTATGAGGAAGAAAAAAAGGTTATCTGAGTCTCACATTCCAGTATGAATTTTCAGGACCAGCAACAAGAAAGAAGTCTTATTTACATGTATTTATTTACTAATCTAGTCACACATACAACCCTTATATTGTTAATGAGCTGAAAAAAAAAAGGAAAGAAGGATTCAGCAAGATTAATTTTAATACATATTGCAGATAGAAACACTTTTTTTCTAAATTTTAAAAGCCATCGTTAAATGGGCAGTTGCTCACAAGATTACCAATTTGTAACTCCTAAACTCAAATTATGCAGAGAAGAGTATGGACACACCTTGTGTATGGTTCACAGCTCGTCTTCAGCAGAGACAGCAGAACTGGGTAATGTTCATTGCTACAATTGTTCAGAGCCTCCTTGTACAGATATGAAAGCAATTTAACACCCTAAAAAATTGAAAAACAGCCTAATGTTAGGCAGCAAACTGCAACACAACTTTAATAACAAAAGACTCATAAAGACTTGGCTTTACATGGTCCACTAGACACAGAAGGCAGGGTTCATCTCACTTTCTCTATTTATCTGCAATTAAGATCACTTTACCTGAGCAAGTTACCTCAACCTCACTTTATAGTCACTAAAGAGAAAAAAGTGTGTCTAGACTTGGATTCATGTGACTAGAATGAAACAAAATGCTCTAAGGCTTATTTTGGGCACCTGTGTTTACTTTAGGAATTGAAAACACAGGACAAAATTCCAAATTTTTAAGTACCTGAAGAAAGGATAACAGTATTCTAACTGAAGTCCAAGGTCATAACTTTGCTAGCAGAGAGACCGAGACTCTCTGAAATGTAATCAAGTTACATTTCATCCAATATAACTTTGAAAAATATTAACACTGTAACACAAACCAAACATAAAAACATCAAACTAAAAATCACCGTAGGAAATGAAGCACCAGCTCCACCACTGATCCCCAGTGTGGTTGTTCCTATGCCACAAAGTTCAGCTAAATACCTAAAAAACAGGATTAAAACATACATAAAAATTCCAACCAGAAGTTTCTTGAGATCACAATGATGAACTTTGCTGAAACTGAATATCACACAACCATACTGTATCTGCTGAATGATAACTGGGATAATAAAGAAACTGAATATAAAGACCTTACATATTTCCCCTAGAATCTTCTGGACATAAAAAAATAGAGGAAAAATACTGATAGACTAAGTAAGACAGCCCATTTACTCTGTCCTCTCAGAGTGTATATGAATAGATTGCACTTTTTCTGCTACAAAAAGCTTAAACATTTAATATCATTCTCTTACCTCAACTGACGACCTAATTTTCTGAAGAGAAAGCTGATTGTTAGAAGACTTAAAGTAGGAGGTGTTGACAAAACACAGGCTCGGTAATACTGAAGATACTTTCTCAGCCCACTTGTGAATGCCTAGTATCAACAGAAAATATTTAAAGTCTTCCTGTGAAAGTTGTTAATGGTTTATCAACGTCTCACATCAATTGTATCAGCATCAAAACAAACCTTTTACTTAAATACTGGCATATGAAAGTAAGAGAGAATTGTACACCAAAGTAAGGGGAAAGTGAGGGTCCATGCAACTTCAGACATTCCAATTAGCCAGATGGCCCCTCTATACTCTTTACACATCCAGTGCACAAAACCTGTACCCACACCCAGTATAATAAAGCATCTTGGTTCAGCTTCTTTGGATTGCCCTTTGAGGAGCTCCCTGTTCTCTAGAACACAAACCTAGGGAAACCTGTGTCCTTACTTAAATGAAGACATTTTACTGCATATTTCAGTGCAAGCAAGCCCTAAGCACGGAGACTTGTGATTTAAACATAGTGGCACTGTTCACTGCCAACCTGGAAAGGAGCATTATACTTAAAATACTACAGTTATATACTTATTATACTTATTATACTTAATATACTATAGTTTTGCAAATGCAGAAATTCAAGCTTTACACAAAATTCTAATTTACCTTTTAATCAGAAGTTACCTTCTACATCTAAGATAATTGGCCCATTAAATCTAGAGAATTTAATGCAATTGTTTTACCTGAAACACAAGTCCTTTGCTGTACGAGGAATCCAAAACTGGCTGAAGAGAAAAACGACTTAGTCGTGTGTAATAGGTTCCATACTCTGCAACTTCTGCCAGCAGGTTGTGCATTGTCTCTGGTGAAGTTCCAGATACATATACCCCCTCCTTTATCACAAATGTCTGAGCAGCCTAAAAGAAAACATGGAAAAAGAAAGGCAGATTGAAGTATTTCATAGCTGTATTCAGACTTAAAATAGCAAACATTTACACACAAAAATAACAGCAGACAAATTTTCAGTTTAGATAATGTGGTGACTGAGACTATATAGCTAGGACAGTGAGATTAACATTAAATTGTAGCAAAATTTCAGGAGTATGAATGGTATCTTCAAGTATACAGAATAAGATTCATTATCTAATTCCTTAAAGAAAATCCAATTTACAAAACTATTTACACACCTATTTTCAAATATTCATAAACCTATTTTCACTACAAATACTCTTAGCCTACTGCAATAACATAATTACTGAAATATATAAATACTGCTTTATTGCCATTAGGCAACATTCAACTTTTTAACACTCTCCACAACTGCAAGATCCCAACAGAAGTAAATGCACAGAAGAGGAAACCTCTACAAAAAGAAAAATTAAGAAGATTCGACTAAGAAGCACAGATAAAAATCATCCATACCTGATTGAGTGAAAATGTAGTGGATACCACACCAATGAGGACATTCAAGACATCCTTAACCAGTTCAGGTTCTTTCATCAGCACAAGTTGAGGAAGCTGAAGTACAGTATTACTGAACAGTTGTAATTCCCCTTCTCGAAGTTTGTAAAATTTGTCAAAAGCTTCTCTCCCCGCTTCAGTAAGATATGGTTCCTCTTTTTTACCTGGTGGGCTGTGTCAGAATAAACAACATTACAAGCTGATCATGTGAAACGAAATATATCTCATACAGAAAACAAAAGCATTTCAGAATTTTACACAGAATTCCTCACAGAAAAGTTACTTGTAATATAGTACATTTTTAAGGGAATATACATTCAGTCAGTGAAACTGTAGCTCAAACTCAGGACAGTGAAGAAAAAGGTAGGTAATTCGAACATCAGTTCAGAGACAGAATCCTTGACAGAGAACTACCAGCTGCTTTTGTGGCCTTCCCTGATGCAGGTTTTACATTAGGAAAATGAGGTCAATATATACCAGATTTCCATGGTTCATTTATTAGTAATATTCAAATAAATTAAAGAGAAATATGCTCAAAATGCTAGAATGAACTTTTATTAAAACATTTTAGCTCTTCTCAGCAAAGATTACTCTCTCGTCCAAAACAATTTCTCCTTCAAATTCTTCCAAAAATTCTGAATTCTGGTCGCAGGTATTACACAAAAGCTGTCAGGCATATGGACCATATCTGACTCTAAGACCCTTACAGTCTAAATGGTAGCAAGAAAAACTGTCTTGTATTAGGAACAAAGCTCAAGTGGGCTTTGAAAAATCAGATTAGCGTACTTCTGAGTTTCTGAGCTTCTCAGGCTCAGACTATAACACGGCAACTGCACATCACTGGATACTTAAAATTACAGAAAACATAGAGAGCAAAGTTTCTCCAAGAATCAGGCACACCACTGTCCATCAGGAGTGTAAGGAAGATACCCATCATATCTGTCTTTTTTTTTTTTTCCCTTCCGTTTTAGGGAAGCCAGGAAGATTTAACAGAACTGGATAGACCCTTCTCTCAGGAGATGCATTTTCTACTCAGCAGCCAAAAGAACTACAAGTCTAACTAGACCATCAAGAAATCTGTTGTAATAATTTGTTTTGGTTACAGGCAGGGAAAAGGAATACAATACTGTACAAGACTGGGAGATATGGGTTTAATTTTCTGCTGCTCTACAATTACCACTTTCTCTTTTTAAACTGAAAATGTGGAATCATTTTTAACTGAGACAAATTGCACAGCACACAAGAACTCAGAATAGTTAGAAAAACGTTGCATTTCACATAAACAGCAAGTGTTTTCATAATCCCTTCAATTTTTGAAAAAGTTGATTTTATCTCTTCCTATAAAACCGCTGTGCTCTAAGAACTAGGTTGTTGACACTGATAAAATTCCTTTATCCCTATTTCTGTAGTATATTGAATTCTGCAAATTAAATACACATTTCTCTATTTATACTGAGGTCATTTGGAACTAAGATGCCATACACCTTCACACATTTGCATACAATGCATAGTAAGTTTGTCAGTCAGATCAAACACATACTATCCAATTCTTTCCCAACATCTTCGTTTGCTGGGTCCATATGTAAGCACTGCATCCCACAAATCTATGTCTGGAGTCATGCTCGGCTCTGACTGAGAATCAGGAGTCAGATTGGATGCTGACTGGAATCCCTCATCTTCTGACTGATCTATACTTTGGGGAACCTGTCAGAGAGAGTTCAAATGTTAGACATGAAAATATTTTACTGAAGCTAATAAAAAAGATGTTCTGCTATCATTCATGACTGAGTGACCCAACCTGTCTTACCTACCCTCCCTTTATATCAATTTTAAGTGTTCACTGTAAACACTCTTTTCATTTGGTGAGTCTCTCCAGCTATTAATGCCTATACATACAACGGCAATCACCATCAAAATAACATACTGTGCTTGTTACTGATAAACTTGAAACTCCCTCCTTGGGTAATCGTGTAGTTCTACAAAATGAGAATCTGAGGTATGGATATTCAACAATATGTAACATTAATAAAATTATACTGCTCTGCCTTTTGTTTGAGGCAAATGACCCAGACCCTAAATCTTCCAATTGGTAAACATTTTGTTAACTATGACTAACAGTTTCTTCCCTTATTCATATGCAGAACATCTATAGGTGTCCAAACAGTGTATATGCCACATCCTCAGCCCCCACTCAACAGGAGTTGTGCAGAACTGTCCTCAATTTTAGTAAAAGACAATCACCCACATAAAAAGTATCATGTTCCTCAAGAAATTGCAAATTTTCCCATCTGATGGAAGGAGTACAGTAAAATGTCCTGCCTCCCCCAGGTTACAACTTGGCATCCATATGTGCACACTGAACAAACAGGAGGTTTCTATTTAACAAGTTTCAATTAAGACCCTGAATGAAGGGAATTGCAAGATCTATCCATATGTTAAGTAGAGGGAACAAGGAGATGATCGAAAGGTAGGCTATAGAAAAGCCTACCTACACACAGTAAAAATGGAAAGAAAGAAAAACCTGAAAGTTTATCTAGCACTTCTATGAGAATAAAACAGCAAAAATATTTAGAATGGACAGCAAAGGGGGAAAAAAAGATACAGTAGAAACTGTACACATGGAAAAGGTAAAAAGACAATAAGAACTAGGACATTCAATGCAAAAAAATAACAAAAAAACCCACCAAAAACATTTAAGATAAAACAAGCCAAGACAAAAATACAGCAAGTTAGGTAATGTAGGCTGAACGGCAAAGCACGTACATTCAGACAGGAACACTGATGCAATCAGTCTGAGCACTAACAAGTAAGCAACAATGCAGAGGAATTCAACAGACAAAGCAGGTAAAAATGGAAGCAAAAGATTGCTAAGGTGGGGAAGGCACAGATACAGCTGATGGCTTAAACTAGTAAAGCCTTTGGCCACATGGTGGGCTTTGACTCAGCTATAGGACAAGACCAAGGTTTTTGTTATCACACATCTCTGTATCCAAAAAGCTTATCTGCTTCTCTGCAGAGGAAAGAATTCCTGCTCCATCTTAAATTCCAGTTCTCTATGCTTCTATCACAAATTAAACCACTACCTACATTTTAACATATAGTTTCAAAGTGGCACAATGAAAGCATGCATACACTCGTAAGTCCAAAACAAATGATACTGTACTTTAATTGCAAGTCCAGACAAATCTGCATTGTCAGGCACTGGTGGCAAATCCAACTTGATGTCCATATCATATGTACGGCTGTGGACAAGGGCACCGAAGAGGGAGACCCGTGTCTCTTTCTCAAACTTGTCCCCAGCAGGGCAGCTCTGTGAGAACAGCCCTATGGCAGGGAGCCCAGTGCCAGGGGCTGCCTCCATTATCTGAAGCGTCTTTTGAATTGTGTCGTTGAACTGACATTCTTCATTTGTTATCAGAGACTGTATGTCAGCTTCAAACACACTCACATCATAATAGTCATAACCCTGATATTTGACATTCCTCCCAACATATTTGTTGTTCATAAAATAGTCCTTTTTCTGTGGTACAAGCTGGGGAGGGCCTGTTCCAGCAAGCTGTACTAAGAGATCCAAGACAGAATTCACTTCAGTAAATGGTAAGCATTCAGCTGTTTCCAGTTCCTCTACAAGATTCTCCAGTCTGTCTGCTTGAGCACCCAGGCCACCAACTCTCAAGTTGAAAGACAGCATCAAAATTTTGTTTTTCACTGGAAGTCTGGAAATGTTTGATTGCAGCTTACGAGCCTCATCTTGAAAAAGGTTTATGAACAGGGCATTATAAGCAACCCTTTTCAGATTTTGCTTAGCCCTTCTCTTGCTGATCTTCTGCCTGCCCAAGTGAACTTTCCATGGCAAACCTGTCAAGTGTGCTTCACACAAATCACTGAACAACTGTGTGATGCTCTCCATTTCAAATCAAATTGTCGGGTTTCAGCAGTTACTGTCAGGATCTCTGATTTCATGTGAAGACCTGAAAAATATCAGGAAAAGGAAGAAACCCATAATGTGTATGAGAAATTGATGAGTACGCTTTAACTTAAACTGAGACAGCCCAAATCGAGCAAACTGACCCAGCAGATATTTAGGACACGAGCTATAAAAACCACACTGTAACTCTGACCACAAGTGAAGTGATGGTGGAGGAAGCTTAATTCCAAATGCCTGATTTTGGTCGGCAGACTGAAATAGAAAAGAGAAGGTTATTCTGATCTAATACAGGAGTCCTGTGGGAACACCTCTCCCTTCTCCCAAGAGACATCCCCCGGCAGCGCCCTCGGCAGCAACCGCGGGGCCGCGCAGGGCGGTGCTGACGGTGCGGGGCCGGCCGGAGGGCACCCGCCATGCCTGGCGCACCCGGAGCACCCACCCAGGAGATGCGGGGGTGCCCCAGAGGAGCTGCCGGCGGCCGGGGCTCACCCTGAGCATCCCGCTGGGCCCGAGCAGGGCGCGCCAGCCCCTCCTCGCCGCCCGCCATCAGCACCGCCCGCGGGGCTGTCCCCGCAGCCCAGCCCAGCCCAGCTCAGCCCTTCCAGCCACGGCGCTCCCGTACCTGCGGCAATCCCGGGCCAGCGGCGGGAGCGGGACGGTGACACCGCCTCCTTGCCCAGCGCCGCCGCCACGTCACCCGAGCGCGACGGGACCGCCCCGCGCCCACGGGAAGGCGCCCCGGGCCCGGGCAGGGCCGGCGCCGCCCTCCGGCCCCCGGCACCGCGGTGGGGGGAACACAACCCGCCCATTCGAACAGTTCGCGGTTTTTAAGCCATTCCTGCGATACTCACGTTTAACGCTGTCAGCTGACAAACAAAAATCAACACACTGGTGGCCACAAAGCAACGAGCCTCGCCTGTCCCGAGCGCCAGAAGGCAACAGCAGCCTTCTGCAGGCATTTGCAAACAAACTCTACCACCAGTACACTTTTTTCCCTTCCTCTTAATTCACGTTTATTAAAGGTCTTATAAAAATACATATGAAAATACAACATATCATTCAAACACTAGAAATTCGATTGAACAAAGTCAGGGAAAGGGGATTTTGCAGAAATGTCTCAGAAAATGCGTTTTCCTTGGGAAAAAAAAGGCAGGCATTCAGGGGAGAGAGAGGAAGAGAGAACACTGAACCAACAAATCTCCTGTAAGGAAAAGTTTTGAAGCTGAAGTTTGGCCTTTGCCCAATTTGCAGCTTAAAAGTAAATACTTTTTTAAGAGTTCAAAGTTAAGTTTAAAGAAATTCTGAACTGAAACAGAACATTTCATGTCCTTCAATTCTCATTTGTAAAAATGTTTCACATGACTTTTCAAAAAGATTTTAATTTCAAAATGTTTAAGAAGTTATTTCCCATCCTGCAATATCTGAAAACCAGAAAAAATGAGAAGGGAAGCACTGGGAACAATTAAAAAAAGGGAACTGCAAACCCAAATTTAGTTATCTGAATTATATAAAATCGATCCCAGTAGCAATGCCAGTATAAACATAATTTGAAGTGTTTGAAATCAAAAGGTCACATTATTGAAGTCATGATCACAGAAAGTGCTCTTGGAAATGATCCCTAAATCATATCTGGAATGCTACAAAACAAGGCATACTATGGTTATTGCCTTGGGATGTTTGTTTAATTTTGAGAATTTACATGATGTAGCCTTAGGCCCCTACCAAATCTCTGGAGGCTTGGGCTTTTTATTTTTTATTTGTTATGTAGACAATTTACTTTTGAAAGGAAGGCAGAGTGAAGTCCTCATATTCTCCTTTTCTTCTGCTTTGTAAAATGATTCTGAAGTCAATTTCTTGAAATCCCATCCTTCACTGAAAAGAACAGCAGTAAGAAAACCAGTTATTAATCAAGCTCATAACGCAATTCCTGACCCCATAGGAACATTTTTATTGGAACCAGGCCCCTGGTCTTGGCCATTTCTGAAAGACAGAAGGCCATTTTCTTTTAGAGAGATATGACCATCTTTATAATTGCTTTTCCTGCTGAAAAATAGAAGTAATTCAGCAGAGAAACATTACTAGACAAGTATGCTTGCAAACACACATCCCTGCTTAGCCTGATTCCTATACAAATGCAGTGCCTGATCCTCAGCTCTTTGTGCTGCACTTGTAGCATGACTCATCTCTACTGAGTTACATGAAGTTATTTGTGGACAAGTTAAATGTATAAAAATATCACCTGATTTGGCACTATATTCAGAGAACACATTAGCAATCAGAGCCAGTGCACAGTCAGTTATCCATTCTTTAAGTACACAATATTTTGGTACTTTCATTCCAGAATTCTGGAGGAACAGTATTCAAAGTCTGAATGGTACTGTTATGCTATGAAATTCGGTGCTTTCTGGCTCAAGTCGCAGAATCAGAAGCATTCAGAATTTCAACATTTTCACATTAAATCAGCCTGGTCCCACTGATTTAATATCCCACTGACTTACAGGACCCAGCTGTATTTTATAAATTTTTCAGAAACTTGCATATATTAATAAGAATTAAAGATAAAACCAGACAACTTACCTGAACACTGAAGCATTTTCCATTCCTGCTGAAACTGGTCTCTTAATGTTTTGATTTTATTTACTTTTTCTTGGGTAGGAGGTACATAAACTCCAAAGTGAGGTGGAGAAGCACCCACTAATGCTTTGGCTACACTCTGCAATAATTTTATCTCTGTGTCCTAATTAGGAAGAAAAATAAAATTCCCCTGTGAACCAAGCTCTCTTTGTCTCAGTGATACATGAAATATTTTAAAACAAACTTTTATAATTATAGTGCTAGTAGCAAGAATGAGCAACTTTCCATTTTCAAATAAAAGTGTGTCAAAATGGAGTTTTTTTCTGAAAAAGTTAAAACTTGTTTCTTTCAAATAGAGAAAGAATCGCAATTTTCCCTTTATGATTGAAAAGAAATAATGCTGGGTTAGGGACAGAAAATGTTATGAGGGAAGGGGAGCGTGGAGCCCATTTACTTCATGAATCACTTTCTATGAGTGGAAAATAAGTGATATATTTTGCTTCATCAAGAAGTGATTCTTTTGTACTTCTCACGGTCTAAATCAATATCATGTGCTTGCAGAAATTGTATTATGAAATGTTGATAGTATATGAAGATTATATTTGGAAGACTGTAACCCTATTTTATTTTGAAGAGATAGAATATCTTCTCAGTTATGCTAAAAAGCCAAACATATGCACTACAAAATCCCCACACATTACATAATCCTGTTACGGAGCTACCTGCAAAATAACAATATAAAAGTATCACAATTTTTTTTTCAATATGTATACCTAACTTCCTTTTAATGTCTGAGTTTATACTTCAGAATATCGATAGTTCTCTCATTTCATACTCCTAATTAGTAATGTGTAAATACACTATTTATATATACTTATCAAGATACAAATTATTTTAGCTTAGATAATTTATGTGTCAGCATTGTAAATTAAATTATTTCTTCTCTAGTTTTCTCAAACGTTATGTCAAAATCCACTTAACTGGCAGCTTAATTAATAGCATGGCTTTAATTGGATACTTGCTGGAGAACAGATCAGAATAAGCATATGTGATCAACTGTTTTACTGTTTCTCGTTAAAGAAGAACTAGAAGGCATAAAAGCAATCAAAAGTTACTGTTTCACAGATCACACAGAGAAACAGTGCTACTCACAAACATAGGATGCTGGAGAGGCCGAGAATATAAACTGAGTTCTCGAAGAGATTAGACAAATTCATGGAAGATACGCTCATTGGCACTGATCACTGGTCTGGATACAGCCTCCAACTTCCTACATTTAGATATTCATAATGGGTATTCATATTGATATTGAAATTGATATGGATGTTCGTATTCATATTGAAAAAACTAGACTAGGGAAATATCCATATGTTCTTTACTTTCTTTCCCATGTTCTCTACCAGAAACAAAGCTGGGGTAGACTGGCCCTCAATTCTATATTAGGACAATTAAGTTCACTTGAAGGATATGTGCCATTCTGATTTATCTTCTGCACACTGGAAGTTGTTGCTGTGACAAAATACAGCATGGGGGAGAGGAAATTTAGCGGTCCATGAAGAGCAGGACAATGGGCTGCTTTCAATCACATTTGAGGGAAAGAGGCCAGATGATTTAACAGACAGTAAGTGCCTTTTCAGGAGACAACTCTGAGCTGTGAATCCCAGATGGATGGAAGTTGTGGCAAATTGTCAGAACACCTATGGTCTACAGACAGGACCATGGGCTTGCATTCGTGCCCCGGCCTCTCCATCATGCAGGCTGCCTAAAGCTCAGTATGCGTTCATGTCTTGCCTTGCTCTCAAGACAGAAACAAACTTGGTCAGTTTGCACTCTGAACTCTGGGGTGCCAGAGAGAAGACAGACATAGCCAGTATTTTCTCCTGGGCAGCCTGACACAGTTCATACCAGGCATGCTGCTGCTGGATTTGAATTCTGTGCCAGACACTTTGAAGTACCACAGCTCAGCACCACTTCTTACCTTGATCACAGCAAAAATTCGAGACTCAGCTAATCCTTGTAGCAAAGCAAAAAGCAGAGAAATCCCACTTATTTCAAGGTTCCTGTTTGGTCCAACAGCTATTACTGTTAGGTTTGGCTGATAACTATATGCTACAGGAAGAATGAATCCAAGTACAGCAGAAAAGAAGTCATTTCCTTCAGCATCCTTGAACAACAACAAGAAACTCTTTAGCACAAATGTAAAGCCTCAAATTCTCAGATATAAAACAAAACAAAAAGATGAATCTCAGAAAGCTTTTGATTGACCTAGGAAACAGGATTCTGATCTATTTTTTCCAGTGGTTTTTGTATTAACCATGTAGAGTATAATTTTTTCCTTAGCGTCTTCGCACTGTAACTCTCTCTGCCTTCCTGAACTGCAGTAACTACGGAATGTTTCCGCAAACCTACGTATTCTAATGTTCTCTAAAGCTTGGTGAGGGAGTAGTACCCTGGCAAGGGCAAGAAAAGGAAAAATTTTCAGTCCAAACTGGAGAGAGGGGTGTAATTCTCAGTGTCATTGTATGAATTTGTAAATATAATCTATTATTTGTTTAAAAAGCTTTTCTCCTATGTTGTTTCCAGAAAGTGAATCTTACCTCTTTCCAGTTTAGAGAAATATAGTGTTTGGAACTGGTCTTTCCAGACTCTTCTTTCTCACAGATATGTATGATAAGCACTTTTCTGTAAATAAAAAACACACCTCAGTATTTAACCAACATCTCCCAATGTGGTAAAAATATATTTTCTTTCATCATTCTTTAAATACTAATTCATAACACAGGAGGAAACAACTATTTTCAT